ATTTCGTCGACCATTCGAATGAAAAGTCAACTATTTATCTAAACACATGATTTTGTAAAAAAACTTAACTCTTTTTACTTATTTTGATTGAGATATTTTTGTTAACGGACAAATATAAGCAATATGTATAAAAGGGGTGTTTGTACAAAAATGTGGTTCAGTCGGAAACCATGTTTCATTTTGAGATAAGTGTATTTCATTCTCAGATCATAACAGGAAGTCATTATAGGCTCTCTAATGACCCTGATCATAAACTGAAAAGCTAGATACTACTAAATATATCGTGTCCACCTAATCCAAGTGCTTGAGGTCGGTTTGGGGAAAAAAATGCAATAGAGTGGTTTTCATTAACCCGTGAAACACACTTTAGCGTATTTATTGCTATTACACTTTGGCTCTTTTGTTTTTTATTGTCTCTACACGATATTTCACTCTAATTATTACACTGTGTTGCCACGGGTATATGAAAACCACTCTATAATAGGACATTATCTTAGACATCAAGTCTTCAGTACCGTTTAGAAAGTTTTTAAGATTACTGCAATTGCATGTATCTATACTATACAAGATTATTTCATTGYCATTATTGCGTCTTGGATTTTAAATTCCTTTTATTTTTGAAGGGCATTGAATGCTTTAGAGTATTGTTGGCARSTGTCATTTMKTAACCTTTTTCGCTGATTCTTTTGTTATAATCAGCTATGTTGGAGCCAGTGTGACTAGTATCAGTTTCACTTGTAATCATCAAACATAGTGACGATAGCATTGTTCTTTTGTATAAATTCCTTTGAAACAGCTCTATAACATTCAATCAAAATTTTATATTTTCTAAATGTTCTCTGTACGAATTCTTTCTAAGTTTACACCTTTTTGCCGAGTTTGAGAGTTAACCTTTCTCAATTGTGTGGCATAATTGCTTACAATTTATTGTCAATCTCTGAAAACGTTTTCCCCAGGCAATAGCGTTTAAAGTTTTAAATGGCATAGAGACACTCCATGGATATGTGTATGTATAAATATAGTTATCATAAATGTATTAATATGTAGCTATATTTAATGGAATATTCTAGACTTTGAAATCTTGACATTCATTGTTTTCTAAAAGCCATCTAAATATTATAATGTAGAATAAATCAGGTGTTAATTTGCCGTCAGTATGACGCACTCGAAGTCACTGATACATAACTCACGCATCTTAAGACTCTAATGTTTCTAAAAGMAATAGTTCTTATAATATCAAGGAAAAACAAAAAGATATTCTTTGCGATAATAGAAATATGAAAGTTCTTTTTAAACTTCAACRCCTCAACATAGCTTACAATACGATGCATGACAAAGTACTTCAGCGCTAGTCAATTCTTTTTTTAAACAAGCCCTCCGGCAATTTATAAAGGGGACTAGCTTTATTCTTATTAATAAAACTCTGTTTCTAAGAGTGTGCAAAACCCTGATTATATTTCCAGCAATCAGTCCATAGTAAAGCGCCGTTTACACGAGCAATTTTTCCTTGACAAGTTTTCCTAGACAAGGAAAAATTGCTCAATGGGGTAAAATTAACAATTTTTCCTTGTCAAAGAAAAGCCAACATGTTCGCTTTTCCTTGACAAGGAAAAATTGTCAAGGACGACATTTGCTCGTGTGAATGGACAACAAGGAAAATGTGGCAAGGAAAAATTGTCAAGGAAAACTTGTTGACCATTCACACGGGCAATTTTTCCTTGTCAAGCAAAACTTGTTCTTCGTTTACACGAGCAAAGAAACATTGTCAAGGAGGAATTGTCAAGGAAAACTKGTTGACCATTTACACGGACAATTTTTCCTTGTGAAGAAACTTGTCAAGGAAAAATTGCTCGTGTAAACGGCGCTTAAGATGACATGAAATTGTTATGCACGAAAAGTTATGCTTGACGGATTTGAAAAATAAAACATTGCTACCTGAATGTTCTAAAAGGAGAGAAAAAACTATGAGACAGAAGCAAAGAGAGTGTTAACTCTTCATTAAGATATAGATCGATATAAAAAGCATAAACTCAGGATGTGCAGTACTGCCCAGCCGTATTTAGGCCATTACATGTATTTTGTGGCCATGCATGGCTGACAATATATATGTTTGAAAACTATAATCAGAAACTTTACTTAAAACAAGACTAGCATCGCACAGAAATAAAGATAAATTATAACAACAATAACAAGAATATTAAGTATATTTCATTAAGTTTGCATGGCAAAGTATTCCTCGAAAATAAAAGCGCGCATTCCGACCCTAAACAGTGAGCTGAAGGGCTCAGATTTTAATGAACAAACAAAACAATTTTTKTTACTCAAAACAAGGAAAGAATACAAGCCCCTACCTTCATCGGGAGTCCTAATTCGCGGTGATGGGTTTTAAGAAGAAAAAAAAAAGATTCCTTGCMCAGTGATCGCGTCTTAAGTCCAGYTAGTCAATACAGATATCGCTGCTTGGTTAAGAGCATAAAAACCCTCGCTAGACCACGCAATTTATGCATATAACCAAAATAACTGCATTACGACATAATGGACCCTGCCCCAGAAAGAAGTGATATCTTAAGAAATCTAAATTTAGGAACAATCAGAAATCAAAGATATTTATAAAACAAAACAAAAAATTGAAGCTAGAAGTAGGATGATRGCATGCAAGTCCATGGTTGAAGGAGAAGCRGAGCTGATGAACTTTGATTAARAAATTCCGTTTCTTGCAGCTCTGTAATGCTATAGGTRATGATCGATTCTTGAATTTTTAGATGTARAGGGTGTTTGTCAAGGGAAAAGAAGTTTCATTTTGTCATATAATGCGTTAGAATGTCTTTTCTTTTAAGATATATTATGTAATTCGTTTTATTTTTACTTAAAATTTAAAATACCTTCTTCCTTCATCTTGCAGTAACTCGGTTTAGATAAGTATATTTTTCAGCTACAAAAGAATGCTTTAAGTAAAGAAATATTTTTTCTTTATTTTTAGATGTTACACTATTGAAATCGTGCAAAGTGCAAGCATTCGCATGCACATCCTGTCTGGACTGTTTGAGCTTTAAATGCACCCTTACTATTCTGTATGTAGACAATCATTGTCTTTTTTCTTAGGATACACTCTCCTAAAGATACCTTAAGAAAATTTGAGTGGCACTTCCCGTGGCATTCGATTTCATCAATAGAATAAGCTAGCTGCTCGCTAGCATGGGCTAAAACAATTGTCTTAACTACTCGTTCCAAACAAAATTCATGAAATTGTCTTTTCTTTTTYGTCGTCTGGCCGTTTCTCATAGTGATACTTCTGTTATTCAACTCCAGGGTTTTAACCATCGAATTGTTAATTTTGATAAGATGCAGATTTTTAAGTTTAAATAACCCAAATTTTTTGACAGTGAAAAAGAAKAGTTTTGCGTCTGGGCTCCAGGTATCAGGAGGTGCAACATCCATCCCAAGAATCTTCGCGTTAACTGTAGAACTATTGCTAGTGGAAGAATCATATTTGAAGATGTTTGATAGTAGCCTCTTCGAGATAGTTTCGTCTTCAGCTGAGGTTAAAGGACATGTGCTGGCTATTATTAAGACTGTAGCTAACAATGTCTGTGGGTTGAAAGAAGAAAAGAAATGTCAAACTGAAATTCAGATTAAGTTCGTGTTGTGATTGAATATGCTTTGTTATTTGAATCCAACATGGCGGACATGACGTGACGCGTGCATTCTAGGATTACTAATTGAGTCTACAAGAGTACTTAGCTATCATAATCCTGCGAAACAAATTGATATAATACATAAAGTAATAGTAAAGAATCAAAGTGGTAGCTCAAAACAATAAAAAATGACACTCTAAACCTATGAAATAGTTGCTAGGAGTCAGATTCGAATGCTAAAAGCAAAAGAGTTTTACTATCGTCATTGCTGAAACACTTTTAAAGAACGCGGGTAAAATAAATAGAACAATCTTTGTAGTCAGTACTAAACAGTACTAGTAAACAATGGGAAAGATTTGCGAGTAAAATATTTTCAAAATGACGTCTCACCATAATGGCCAATTCGCTCACAAAACTCTGTTTGAGTGGAGTCTAGAAGCATGGTATAACAAAGCACGCCTTAAGAGTAAAGTCATTCAACTCCCTACAGAACGCTTCCTTATAAAACTTAACCCTAAATTTAACCCTAAAACTTAACCCTAAATTTTGGACAAAAGCATTCATGTTACGAAAAATGTACGGCGTAAATTTAATTGCAAGAAGTGCTTTTATATTTCGGCAAAAACTGAGCTAAATGAAGAAAGAAAGAAAACAACTACTGAGAAAGGGACTGTGTTCTGTGTGAATTATGTAAAGAAGAAAGAAGGCAAAATTGCTAAGGAAATCATGATATTTTTCCATAACATGTTTATATAATGACGTGGTGTAAGCATTGCAGTGACACCTGATTGAGCAACTCTTCAAATTCACCCAGCACTCACCTTAACTGCCATCGTTGAACAAATTGCTTTGTGGTGTCTCAGTCCGTTCCCTGTTCTCATGAGCTCTACTACTACCGATCAGCAAAGCTGCCTAAAGAGCTTGAGTTATTTTACTAGTGACATCGTGTCACTCTACAAACTAGACGTCGGACGTTGTAAGGCGGCTTTCACTCTAGATACAGTGACTTCCTGTCACATGACATATCTAAGTTGCTTGAGCATTGTTTGTCTATCGCGAAATGTTTTCCTTTGTCTTTGAACAGTAACATCCTTTTTTGTGGCCTCCATTCCCTCACGTTTTACTGTCTTTCATTTCATTTACAATCTTCAAGAATTAGATACGGAAATTGACTGTTTTACATTCTTATCTTCCTCAGGAAAGCTCCTTCATTCTTTCTTTGTGTATTTATTTTTTGCGCTTTTTCGCTCTTCCTTTTTTTCGTTTTATTTATTTTTATTTGTTTTTTCACTCATTCATTGTTTTACTCTCCATCTAGCTTTCAGTGAGATTTACAACATTTAGGAAGTTGAACTGAACTTCTTTCTTCACCGGTCTCTTATCAACACGTTAGATTTACATTTGCAGACTCAGATACATCAACCTAGACTATTTTGACTTTATTAACCCGAACATTCGCTTTCGTTAGTTTTTACAATAGTTTTTCCCACAATATTCAACAACTCGTGAAATTATAAAATGAATGACTTTTTTAGTAACAATCTACAATACAGCATCAATCCCGGGGGGGTTGGGGGAGGTCTCCCTTATATCGTTGGGCAGGGATGATCGTCGTATCCATCCTAAATACAAGGGAGTTACCACCCCCCCCCCCCCCCCGATTCCCAGTCGTAGTCCAATCTTTATACAATACATTCGCATGCACAACCTATTTCAACTGTATTAGATATAAAGTCCCCATTTACATTCACAAGCCAAATCAAAAACGTCTGAATTTTTTTCTGACAAGAACCGATTGCAACATTTTGATAGGAACAAACCGAGCTTGCACAACCATAGTCGGTAGCCACGTAAGCAAATTGTCCGCTAGCATGAGCCAGAATAATCAAAACGCCGGCGTCTTCCTCGCATATGTCAGTTGCACGCTTTGTTATGCTAGAATCTGAATTCACAGCTCTGGGAATGTCGTAGCTTTCGCTTAAGCTAGTCATGTCGACTTCGTACATCTTGCTTTGCTCTAGTGTCAGTTTGACGGTATGGTTCTTTAGCAACAGCTGATAAAGTTCACCAGACACTTTAACCATCTTGATGCCTGGGATTTTGAATACGCCCAGTGCTTTTACGGTCTCGTAGAGGTCCCCACTGTAGCATGTTTGAAGTATGTCGTATTTTCGTTTAAATTGGTGTTTCTTGTAAGGCATTCTATTGTCATTGGCTGCTTTGTTGGTAGCCATAGATACCGGCCTGTCTACCCTGGTTGCCTTGGCTGCCGGTTGTGCGTTGCCAGCGTCTTCTCTGAGCTCCCATTGTCTTGTAATATCGTCGAACGTGTTTTCCACGGACTTAGCAGCGGCCAGAGTACATAGTACTAGGATAAGAAGCATGTCGACATCCAGCACTGAAAAAMGATTAAGACATTTAATTCCAAAAACAAAAACTGCGTTATTTCGAAGTCAGTTGGTTTTGGTTATTGTAAGTAGTGCCGTAGCGTCCTTTACGCAATGATTACGCACGTGTGTACCTACGTAAATTTGGTTACGGTTGTATTTATTCATAGTAGTTTAATAACGTAAACTTCCTAAAAGTAAAAGCATCTTTTTAAGGTGGTAAACGAGGTCTAACCGTAATGTTACTACAAAAAAGCATTCGCATGTACCCATACTGCACCTCGGTCATTCACTCTCCCGTCGTGTGGTACTCTGGGTACGAGAATACTTCTAAAACACAGCCATCCGAGCCATCCAATCAGCTCTAAACAAGTTAAAAGTGAGAAACCTTCAAGTTTGGCTTATTTCATACTTAAATCACGCGAAGACAAAATGAAACAGAGTTTGAGGTGAAAATATAGCACTTAATGTCAGTTAGATACTATATATTTTTTGGCTCGAATCTTATAAAATAGCTAAAAAAACACTTTTCAAATGATTGTATAGTAAATAGAATTAGGAAATAAAATATTGAGTGGTATTCAATCTAGTGTCGAATTAATATGCTAATTGTATGCTAAACCAAAAAGGCCATGTCCCATGTCTTAAAGCTGATTTGTCGCATGGGTTTATATTAACTAATGCAGAAGCAGATTTCGAACCCCAACATGATACTATCTTTGTGTCGATAGACAGTTTCGCAGTCAAAGAGCGAGAAAATTCTGGTATCCCAAGTTCTAAATGAACGTACCTTGTACTAGACAATGGTGTCAATCGAGTGTTTCAGAGGATAAAATAGCATTACTTAGTCTGTTCTATGATCATTGAACACGTATGGAATAAATTACTTGATTCTGTGATATGAAATGCTTTATTTTTTTGGTGCGCGCGTTGGATTTTTTAAAGCGTTCTCTTTTGATGATCTTGTATGATTATACACCCTTTTAATAAGTCCCGAGTAATTGAGTTCTCCGCACTTGACGTCAAATTTATTCTTTTGAAATTTTTACAATACAAAAGGAATTCAAAAGAATAAATTTGACGTCAAGTGCGGAGAACACAATACCTCGGGACTTATTAAAAGGGTGTATAGTTGTTGCATTTTCGTCTTGAAATTCATGTTTCGAGCAAGTTCTAATAAAAAAAGATATAAGCAAAACAAAGAACAGAATTATAATCACATCTTTATCCATGAGAATATTTATTTTTATTTTTTTAAACATTTTTTTGCATTTTTGTAAGTAAATAATGGTTTAAAATCGAGCTTAGCCTTGTTCAAATATTGAGAGTACCAATGGATGGCTATCTGACTGACAAGCGTTTACGTAAGTTTAAAATTATTGAGTTATCTTTCTTGATCTTCTTATTGATTATTTTTTACACAAATTAAAAAAAAAACAATATCCTTTTTTTTCTTTTCTCCTCCTTAGACTGAAGCGAAACGACAAATGATTAAAAGTGTTTTTTTTTTTCTAGTTTTAGGATTTTTTTTCTCATCTTACTTCTTTTTCCCATTATATTTACAAACGGCGTTCATTGTCAAAGTGATTTTAAATTAGCTTTAAAAATATGCTAGACACTTCGAAAAGCTATATTGTTAATACAAAAAATCTAAGCTTAACTAAGCAGTCCAAAAACCCATACACGAACGCCCGGAACCATACACGAATGCTATTGCAAAGCATTACTTTAAATATCACTCTTAAATCTCAAAAATTTCTTAGTTATATACTTTTAAATGTTGTTTGCAAGACTTATGAAAGCACAATGCATAACAAATCCCTTTCGGATCACTGATTTTGAAGGACCAAGACAGCGTCCAACTGTCAAGTAGTAGCTTTGAATATCAGTTTGCAAATTGTCAACAATTACTACCATTTCGCTTAAGGGTTAGAACTTTTATTGAACGTTTAATGCCCTCAAACACTGAGAAATCAGAACAATTAATAAATAAAATGACTAAGTTTCTAAAATAAAGTCACTTGGTTTAGAAGTTGCTATAGGAATCTCTCAACATTTATTCTGGTTCTTTGTTAATACAACTTATCCATATAATGCAGCGATTTGTCTTAACAGAAGAATAAGCCACCGAAACTTAAAAACGTTTTTTCCGTTATCTTCAAAAGATCAAGTAGATTTTAAATGTAAAATTTTCAATTCTTCAAAAAATGACTTATATTTGGACATTTAAAAATGCTTCAGATCTATACAACTTGTCGCAGAGGAGTGTCATTTGTAAAAGCTAGCATGGAGTCCTTTTGAAATAAAATCTTTTTAAAAATTGTACAGATGTAATATTATTTGGTAAGCTCTATTGCAACTAGACGCGCCCTTATATAAATTGAAAGTAATAGTTTGCAATAARTACATTTCGATAGTTGTTTTTATTCCGGTTTTGTCGAATAAACAATTAAATCTGTGCCCAATGGAGAATAAAAAAAAACAACTTACCTCCAAGTATTCAGTTATGAAAACTATAACTCATGCAACTGCAATGACTTGAGATAAAACAAACCGGCTGCTTAGTTACAAATAATTTCTCAGCTTAATTGTTTAGGGGAGTGGGAATAAAACACCCGCGATACACGAAGATGGTCACGAGGTATGCATGATTACTTAGCTTGTATTATGCAGAGCTGTGCCGAAGCGTACAGAAGTGACATTAAATATGAGCCCGCGGGGCCCATGCCGCTTAACAACGTTCCATCTGGAAACTTCACTTACGTTGATAGCTTAAAATAAAGTACATGTATCCTGAGCGGTTTTTAATGCGCTCGTTTTTGTTATAACACTATCCTACGTGAAAGGTATCGACGTAATCACAAACGTAAAACGCAAACATAAGCGTAAGTGTAAGGATCAAAAGTTTCTTTTTCACTTGCGGCTGGATTTGTGTTTGATTACGTTACCCCGTGTGTGGGTTTTCCCTACGATTGTGCTTGCGTTTGCGTGTGTGGATTTTCCCTACGATTGTGCTTTCGTTTGCGTGCGTTAATCTGTGCGTGTTTTTTTTTCTTACGATTGTGCTTGCGATTGCGATTGCGTTGCAAATCATTTGTTGCGTTGGTGCTTACGTCCTTAAGCTCGAGTTGTGCATACGTTATTGTTTTGTGTTGATTTTTCACGCTTTCAGTTGTATCACAAAAATATATATTAAACCACACTTGTGATTTATAATAATTAACATTAATCAATACAAAACATTTCACCTCCTAGTTTTTATATATTTTTTTAATTTAATAGTCTTAATCATTGTTTTCTCTCAAACAAACACGGGAAACTTTTGACACCTACATGCACATCCAAACTTAATGGTTTTCGTAAACTTCTTTCCACATTTTGTAAAAGCAGTCACAGCAATTAACGTACTCTTTAATACACAGTCACCAATCGGTAGATTCACTGAATTGATATCTATGCTGCAATGTTTGCTCTTACACTTCAAGCCTTGGACCGAGTATGCTAGATTACCGTTTGGACTGACGGAGATTATGATTTCGAGTTTCTCTTCTTCGCAAGCGTCGTTCGTTGGTGCTCCTCGCGGTTTCTTCCTGGTAATAGGTCGAGTAATGGTACCGTTGTTCTTGACCAGCTCATTCTTTATTTTATCACACACCTTAATGAGACGAATTCCAGGGTTGCTTAAGATGCCAGTTTTGTTGACTTTGTTTTTGACCTGCGTGTCCGTTAGCGCATTGCAGTATGGAGTTTTAAATGAAGAACTTTTTGGTGCAACGCAAGGAATTACTTTTTCGGTTTTAACTGTTGTTTTCATGTTTGCTGGCATGGACTGTACAATTGTAAGAGAAAATGCGTAGAGAAGAAGCTGTAAAAACATCTAAAAGCAAAAACGAATTTTGATGTTAATTGTCATGCGAACACATCTTCGTCACTATCGTTGTTAACTGTTTTGATAATCAGACTTTGCACTTTAGCTGGCTAAACTGAATTGTACACCGTCTAAAAAAGGTATACTTACATTAGAGTGGTAGTGGATAAACTTTGATAGTATTTTCTAACTGATATGCTAAGACAACAGCAACAGTCAATGATAAAACACAGGGCTATGCAAATTTCTGTCCCAGTTCCAATGCTGACTGATTTCGCTGCTAAGTGTTGGATTCTTCTTCTTCTCCCTCACGTTAGCTCTCATCCAATTAAATGTTAACACTGTATAAATCTTTATAGAAGTTCATTTTCTATGAAATCAAGTGCGCAGTTTGATGGAATGTAAGCACGCGGTCGGTTTGTAGTGAAGAAGCACTTAGTGCAGAACACTTTGTTTATTTTGTACCAATTCATATTTGCTCTTCCCTGGACGACTAACACGCGCTTAGATTTTTTAAAATTTTCAAATAGCATTAAGCTATAAAGTATAGCTTAATTCATTGGCACATTCAGAACGAACGTCGAATTTCACGTGCACCGAAGTCAACGTAAATCACTCTAATGTTTTAACTTGTTTCAAACGATGCATTACATTGAACTCAGCACATGTGAGGTATGACGTTTGGGAGAGGCCTTATTATGATGTCACAAATATTCCGTCTTGGCTGAGTTCTTCACCTATAAACAGAGGCGAAGACCTGAGGTACACCTTTTTGCTTCGATAATACTTTCAACAGAGTTTTCTTGTAGCGTTAACTCGTTCTTTCCGGCTTTGTTATTTATTTACTGGAATTTTTTGTTGAAATTTTGTGTATACAATTCACTGGTTTGCCGACAAGCCTGCCTGCGTCAGACGCGGGAAGTTCCATCTACTTGTCGTGGGTCGATCTTTCGAGTCTAACATGTGGTTTGAGTCATCTCTAAAAATAGAAACCTTATTTATAGTATTCTTGGTTTGCAGACTAAAAGAAAAAAATAACAACTTTCAGATAAATAGGTGTCCTGCCTGCACCTAGTGATGCATCGCACACTTTTAAGTCGAGCAAATGGCAGCCGTGTAAATCGGGCTTTAGACAATCAAATCAACTTATTTCAATTTTATTTACGTGGCACAAAACTCTCTCAAGCTGCAAGTGTTTTTTTTAAAAAAAAGAACCTTGTTTTGAAGTGATTTTTTTCCGGTAAGGTTTTCATTGGTTCCGTATAACCAGTAATCGTCAGGGATAAATATAAAACCCATTGTACTTGACAGAGTTCATATAGAGAGAGTACAAATACCTGGCAGCCGCTCATACCGAATACCACACACATTAGTCTTACTTACAGCTCCTCGTGGCTTGATTGAGACGAATTGCACTTAAAATATGAGCTTTAAGGTGAGATTTTTCCTATCGGTTCTAAAGAAATTAGTATTATAATCACTGTTGACACTAAAATTTTGCGAATGTGATATCGCAAACGACCTGACTTGAACAAGTCTAAGTAATTTCATATACGTTGAAAGAACAATCCAAGTAGTATTTGTAACAAATTAAACGCAAGTCAGATATTTATTCCTTGTACTGTGGGCAAATGTTGCACAGTCTTAAATGTTTTATCTTAAAAGTTCTTCTTGATAATTCGATTTTATATGAGACCAATGAAGCGTCAAAATTATAAATTTACTTTCATGATCAATTGACTCATTCTGAAATTTGTTTGTGCTTGCGCGTTTGATAGATTCTAAATCAATGTATTTGATAATTTCAGCTTCAGTTTAACAACAAATAAATGCATTAAAYGTGGCTCAAATCCATAGAGAAGTGCGATTCTACTGAGTGAAGTGCATACTTTAYTTGTATTAAAAAACGTTAAAATCCTAAATGGATTTGTGTTTGTGTTTGTTTATGTGTTGATATATCTTAAAATGTCGAAAYATCGTTGGAAAGTCTAGAATTTTCCTTCTCCCGATGAGAATCATTGGGTTATATACCGACGTTATTTTGATGGATAAGTGATTCACAGTTATTTCATTTCTCCGTCTGATAGGCATCATTTGCTGTGCTAGTTCTTGTTCTCGCTGTCTGTGAGTTGCACCAGGTACATTGTGCAAGACTGGAAGACCAACTTTCAGAAATCAGAGAAAGGCAAGATGCCATCAACGCTGCAAAACAATTCCAGGAAATTGACTTGGAAAAAGAATTGGAAGACCCCGAAGAYGAGGCTTTTCCGTTTAAAAGAAAACGCGAAAGAAATGTCAGTCTGTCTTGTCTGACAAGGTATGGTTTCATTACAGCCATCAAGGCCTTGGGTATCACCAAACTACCAGGCGTGAAGCTGGGCACCATTCCAAGAAACCTGGTCAAATATTTGGAAAAGCATAAAGAGCTCACCATACCAGTGAAATTCACGCTACCAACTACGAGACCGCCTAAGTATCGCTCACGATTTCGCAATAGGGAAAGAAAGCCGAGACCACGAAGTAAGAAACCTCGACCACAAGACGAGAAAGTGAGAAGCATTTTTCAAAATGATGATGAGGGAGCTGAGAATGATGATGACTCAGTCGTGAATGTCCAAAAGCGAAGTGAACGTCCCCTTTGTGCTGATAAACTTATGGTTACCACGGTTCTTGCTCGACCAGGGAGAGGCTCAGAAGCTTACCAGATACAAACTCGTCAATGCGAGGGGTCTAGTTGTCAATCCCGACTATTTTCCGCTGTGTATAGGAATCCTATTGGTCGCTGTGCTGTGGTGCAAACTACCATGCTGCTCTACATTGTTGACGCAAATAGAATGCTGGTTCCACAAACGTTTAACTTTGGTACTGCCTGCGAATGCTTGTCTCCTTTTCCCTGACTGACGACCCCATCAAGGTCTGCCTTCCATGGTTCAAGCTACGTAGAACTCTATAGGACAAACTCTTCTATATTAAAAGTAGAACTGTAGAAGTAGAACTCATGTTTGAATAAAATAATCACTTAAACTTTCATAAMATGGTTGTGACTAACTTAATCCATAACAATGGCATTTATTTGGTTTTTAGATGTATTTAAGTAAACTAGTGATTAATAGAATATTGTAAACATCCACATAAGTCAATAAAGATACCGATTGCAGCATTTGATCACTATGGATTGCAGTGCAAAGAATCTGAAAGACAGAGTCAGTCAAAAATCATGAGCGGAAAGTCCATGTTTCCTTTTCCTACATAGTTAAAGCAGAAACCTGTGAAGTATACTTTTTGTGCTTTTCACACTTGTTCCCTTTACGACAATTTTCATCATTTTAATTGAAATTTTTCATTATATTAAGCAAAAAACAGTGTGACTGGTTACATTCTGAAATAGTAGTATTTCATTTTTCCTCCGAAACATGTAAACTGTTTTTTAATCCCTCAAAGCTTCATGATAAGCCACATTTTTCGCTACATTCCAACTTCATAACTAACGCTGTCATTCAAATCAAGTAGGGCAAAGTGCCTTTTATCATTGAAGTAACGTCAGGAAGCACGATGATAAAGTACTAAGCATAATAGCTTTCGTGATCAACCGCAGACGGACCACACTCGAAAGTGAATATATGATTTCCGCTTCGCTGGTTTATGATGATGCAGGGATTCTGGCACTGGAAATTAAATGGAAAAAAATGATGACACATTATTCATCGGCTCAGTCAACAAGTCAATTGTTGCGGTATGATAGCGCTGCAGTAAAGACGTGAAAAGATTTATGACGATCTCAAAAATTTATGGATAAATTTCGTCAAGAATTCAAATTAAAGTACACAAATGTTTATTTATCAAAATGTTACATTCAAATATGTCATTAAACTTGTTTATAGTGAAGTTTAACAGAAGCTAATAATAGTTCTTGCGGTCATGATCAATGGAGTCAACAATTTAAAGAATAAAAAGTTTATTCAGCAAGACATTACAATACAAAGAAACTCAAATTGTTTAGAAGTAGTTTTTGTGCATTTACTTGCTCAGCGAAGGAGATCAATCATTTCATATTCAATGCTACATAGAGTGCAAGTCACATAAGCATGAAACAATTCTTAACTATGTAGTGCTAAATAAGATTTAGCTATCAACTAACTAAGAATTGAGAACAATGCTACAAAGGAATTTAAATAATTGGCATTGTGTTTATGCTTTGTTGAATTCTTAGTTAGTTGATAACTAAATCTTATTTAGCAATACATATTAAGAATTGTTTCATGCTTATGTGACGTGCAGTCTAACTTGTGGAATCAACTTCACCTTCCCTCTGGTCATCACACACACATTACATTCATTTTGCTTATCTGTTTGGAAATTAATTTTTAATATATAGTGAATATTATGTAGTTTACTGTTTTATACTGCTAAGCTAAACTGGAAATCTAATGCACTGGCAAGCGCATGCGATGTTGATGGTCTCCCTAACGAAACGGCGACACCGACTACCACGAAGACGACGAAACACCTTGACATCTATTTCCTTCTTGTTGGGCTGGCACTTGCCGATATCGATAGGAGACCCCCCCTTTCTAAAAATCACCTTACAATTTTGGTTTGTACCACAGGTTACGCTGTTGAATGAGTATGCCAAACCCAAACCCGCGGAGGCAAGTTTGATGGTGTTAACTGGGTCTTCCTTGCACAAGGCGCTCTGTCGGCGCCGTTTACGACGATGCCACGGGGAATAACGACGACGGATAGGACGAACGATCGTCTTCCTCGCTTTCAAGATTCTCAATTGCTTCCCCGAGACCTTTATCAAGCGTATTCCGAGTTTTCTCAGGTTTTGATTTTCTAGACTCTTCTTTATTGACTGTTTTCTGTATTGGCGGCAACGAATTGGACGACGTCGTGGAGACTCTAGAAGTAGTGGATTTTTTCCGGTTCTGTCTGCAATCGTCTTGTCGTCGCTGTTGTGCGTGATCTGAGCCACGGTTTCTTGATCAAATGATGACACAGCGAGCGCAAGTGTTGCACAAATAATGAGAAGAATAAAAATCTAAGTAGAAAAAAAAAATGTCCATAGCAATTCAAAGGCTATAGAACACACCTTTTCAGTTGTACTTAGGCCTCGATAGCAAGTTAATTATTCTTTTGAATTTGACAAATGTGAGACTATTCATATCAATGTTTGCATTGCTCACATTCCTACAAATTCAAAAGAATATTTAACACRCTGTCGAGGCCTAAGAGCAACTGAAAAGGTGTACTAAAGAGTTCTCGATGGGCATAATTACAACTAGACAATAAACTAGCAAGCCTAGGACGTAGAAAAACAAGGTATAACCGTTTTGCAGCAACCTGCAGATTATACAAAAACACCAAGATAAAGTTTACCAACCTTCATGATGTTCTGGGCACAGTTTAAGCTAGTTCTGCAGCAGAGTTAGTCGAAGACTGACTGAATTGTTGCTTTTATTTCGGTGTTAGTTTCGAAATAGCCGGAAAAAACGAAAGAGGAACAAATTGTGTTTCCATTCCAATGGTTCTTTTGTAAATATAAGACCATCTCATGCCTGTATTAAAAATAAATCACAATGCAGACGCTTCCAAAAGTGGAAGGCTTCTCACTGAAGCGAATCCAAAAACACTTCCTTGTACAGTTACAACTCTGAAAAAAATTGGAAAATATAGCCCCTATTACCCAAACTACTATGACTGACGTCTGCAACGGTATTATTTTTACAAAATGTCTGTTGCATAGTACAAGTTTATGCAACGTCCCCTTCAGCGATTTACAATCAGATGTGAAAGTACTCCTTTTTTTATTTCATCATTGTTAATACTATTGCGTGCCAATATATAATGTACATTAATTCATTACTGTTAGGTATAGACTCTATAATATGCAAATGTACATTMAGGAAAATATATCTGATAAATGTGCTGGAAAAAATCGCGCGCTTCAAAGGTTGTAAATTTGATGTAAATATGATGTAAGTGTCCAAAATTCTGTAAATAGTAATGGAAATCATTTACATCAAATTTACATCAAATTTACAGAATTTTGGACACTTGCATCATATTTACATCAAATTTACAACCTTTGAAGCGCGCGATTTTTTCCAGTACCTCAATCAACTGAGTTTTGTGGTTGAAATTTTGTTTTTTTGTGTGTGTAGAATTTCGAAACCATGCTGAATGCAGCAGAACTACGTAATTCAATAAAGCAAAAGTAAGCTGAAAACAATGCCACAGAATGTAAACAATTACCGGAAWCACTGAAGACGGAATCGGAGTTGGAAGCGGAATCGTTTCATTCTTTATTTCCTCAAATAGTCACGATTCYTTATCGTGACTTATAATTCATAACTTCCTTWAAAATGATTTTCATCTATATACCCYGACTGTAAATTTATGAGYTKTGGTTCATCTTCATTATTTTATATCAGGCCAAGGAAATGGCCACCGAAATAGCATTCCGTATTAGTATGCGTTGGATCAGAAATGATCAAAATAGAAATGAGAGAAGACTAATACAATGCAGTCGATAAATTTTTTAGATCACGATTACTTAATGTATGTTTACTAATTCCGCTTTCACCTCCGAAAAAAGAAACCTACCAGACTACAATTACAAGTTTCAMAGATAATACAATCTCGCTCCAGAGTGCGCGTTCTTCAAATACAAAGCCAATCTTRGCACAAACACGATGGTGCTGAGCGCAGACTAAAAGGAACGCAGGCTCTGGAGCGAAATAAGGAGATGTGGTCAAAAAGGCACAAGAATCACGCATGCGTACATATTTGACCCGCTATTTTCGGTTATTTAAAATTAAGCCTTCACGCATTTACAAGAGCAGCCAAACTCTACAGTTTTCGAGACAGCGCCATGACAACTTTCATCCACCACGATTGAAATGGCGGTCTTCCTAAGGTTACAGCGGCCATTGATCATCTCACCAACATTACCGTCTATGTTAATCTTCGCAGCAAGACAGAACGGGTTCCCGACGCACTCGACGCTTTTGATTTCATACGCAAAGTGATCGTTTGCTCGCAAAAATTGAAGYGTTTCTTGTTCCTCGCACACGTCTGTGTTTCGCTTGAATCTTGTTCCTCTGAGGACGGTTAGRGAACCCGTTTTACTTTGCTGTAGAGCAAACCGAAGGCTCCCTGAAATATTGATGAACGCACAAATGGGATGAGAATTATAGTATACCCATATTATTAGTTGTGTAAAAAGATAAATTTAACCGTAAAAAAACACCGTAAAAAAGTAGGTGAAATAACATACTGACGTTTCGGACGTTAATCCTTCGTCTTTACTAGTTACTCCGACGAAAGATTAACATCCGAAACGTCAGTAAGTTATTACGCCTACTTTTTTAACGTGTTAAATTTATCATACATTACATAACTGTTTCTTTAGAAACACCGACTCATCTTACACTAGTTTACCGCTATAGTTACCACCATTTTTTCAATATTATTCGAGTACAGTTGTGATCATTTTTGCTCGTTGTAGGCGTTAAAAATCCGTGAAATATATACTTCACTAATACATCTTTTATGAGTGTATTTGACTACATCATTAGATTTTATTCCACGGCTTAAATGTCCTTTCTGTGTCGATTATACGGACATATACAAACTCTAACCATAGTTAAATAGAGGGGAAASTCTAACCTTTGGGATTGACAAGCTTCACTGACGGATTGTCCAAAACTCCAGCCTTTTTTATGGCCGATAATAGATCCTCGTTACTGACTGGCGGTCGACATTTTCCACTCCTCAGTGTCTTGAACTTGCTTTCTCGCTTAGGGCGTTGCTTCGAAGCGCTGTCACAGTARGCGTAGCAGATTTGCCAAATGACTGCTGCTGCGGCTGCAATCGTCAATGCGYGAGTCCCAATCTGTATTTTCAGAATTCACAAGGAAGATTAGCCTCCTTTGCAGACGTTATTAGTATTGTCCATACATTCCCTCTCCACTAACGTATGACCGATACTAACGAAGTCTGCAAACGAGGCTAAGATAGATTATATATCGATCGGGGACATCTGTATAATCCAGTGCAATGTACTGCATTTCACGTTTGAAAACACAGGCTTTCAGATTCGTTTTGACCTTCCATCAGACCATAAACTAACACAAAGATTCGYCCTCATAACTGGACTGAAGAAATATTTTCAAGCAACAAACGTGTACGACTGATTGAGAGCCTTCTGAAAGCACTAACTGACGTCATGAATTGACTTTAATCTTCCGAGCATGCGTAATGTATCATTGTTAGATATTGTCAGATATTTGTGCGTTTGGAGGACGTTTTTATGAAGACAATAGTTTTGACGCATCAAATAATGAAACCTTCCTTTTAACTGGACTTGTGCGCAAATTATCATTAATTGCTAGCATTTGCTACACATTGAAAGCCATAAAAGGCAACCATTTTTTTCCCTTTTGTTTTCAAAATCTTGCTTATGCATGAATTTCTTGCACTTTCATGTGAATTAATAGAAATGCTCTTTTCATCTATCCATAATCTAATATTTTTTTCTATTCTTCAGTAGTTCTTAGTRGTTGGTACTTTGAAAGATTTTGCTAATTTTGTTAAAACATACCTTCATTGTCAAAACGTTTGATTCTACTGTTTCTTTCACAAATACTAACAGCTTATATACGTAAAGAAACTTTTATATACTCCATACTGTTTGCCAATAGCCTTCTTCATATGTCAGTCCAACCGTCTTGTTTACTTTGGTTGCTATAGTGATACCCAGTGAAGACGTCATTATGTTGCCAATGAGGTCACTCGTTCTTGAGATGAAATCGTTCAAATATACTTTACAAGACAAATATTTGATTTAGAAGGAATCAATGTCCAGAATAGTCAATTATACAATAAATATGTCAAATATTAGACAATTTTCACAAATTTGTTATAGAATTGTTGTCACAATTGGATTGACTATTTCGTTTTTGCGCGAATAATAGAATGACTTTATTTGGTACAAGTACACAAGGGTGAAATTTGATTAAATTACACGGACAGTGTGTGTCATATTTTACTATATTATTTGCTAAGATAGCGTGAAAATGACACTTTTCCCAAATATACTTCTTCAAGCTCTAGAATGGAAAAGTGTCTCATGATGAAGTGTYGCTTTTTGYCWGCTTTATTAAGSAATAAAGGTTGGTTTGYTGTGATTYACCAGTGGAAAAAACAATTAGAGTKGGCGTTATATATAKARAGGATATTACATGGRCRCGCGGAGCTGAGAARATWAAATTYGTATCTCCAAGCKACCATGTCATATTCTGTTCATCATATAATTACATRTGAAAGCAAATTATGTCKTAGAATACCTTTTTYMTTACTTCCACTATATAGAGAAACCTGGAATGTGTTATTTTCACTATTGAAAATATCAACTTCACGAAATAGAGAAATTTAAGTACCGGTATTTCATAGATAATTATATGATAAAAGTTTTAAGATTTTTTTATGATAAAAGTTGTTAACCAATAAGAGTGCACGTTTTTTACATGTAATGAGTTGTCCTGCACAACAAAATAAACGAATGATAGAAAACACAAAACAACACAAAGTTCTGCATATTCCTGTTTTATTGATAACGCACTTTAGTGTAAAAATTGWTCGCCAAAATGTTATTAAAGATTGAACTTTCTTCTACTTGTATCCATCTGTTTTCGCTGAAAAACAAAAACAGTTAATTAMAACTTGGTTCAACAAAAACCCTCAACTTGGCGCGAAAAATTGTTTCTGTTCAAGTTGAGCATCGGCGTTTCTCGTTTTTCACCATGTAATTTTGTTGCACAACAAGTTGACGATGCATGAAAAACGAGAAACTTTGATACTCAACTTTAACAGAAACAATGTTGCGCGCCAAGTTGATGGTTTTTGTATCTCGTATTCAGCCGCCTCTACTTGTCCATTATATAGCTCACAGTTTCAGATTTAAAACTGCATTACCCCCTCCCCTCACTTTTTTGAGCATTATAAGTGGGGAGGGGACGGGTGGTGAAAAACATACCTTGTGAATCCACTCATATTCTCCATATTTACTATCAAATGTTCCTTTCTGTAATGATCTCAGCTTCAATGTAAATCTTGGGCCCAGCTCTTGAAGTCCAGCTTTTTTTGAATTCTTGAATATATACCTGCAGAAAAAAAAAAAAAAATAAAATAAAATAAAATAAAATAAAATAAATGACTGAAAAAATGAATAAATGGATGGATAAAACAATCATAATATCCACTTCTCAGTAAGCATAAACCATTGTTATACCTGTGTCTTCTGAAGAAAATGAAATCTCTTTGGTTATGAAATGTAACACACTGTCTGCCATGGAACTGTGGATCGTAAGGGAAMAGYGCTGCCAGKAGTCGACCAATTGAGTGTCCTAGTCTTGTGTTGAAGTGATTCAGAATTAATTCTGGTCTATGGTTGGACATTTTACCATGTCCCTAAGAACAATAACACAAGAATATTTTGGTTGTTTTAATTTTATTCCTTTTTAAAGGGGCATTTGCACTGACAATTTTGCGATTAATTTTACTGCGATTTTTGTGGTCATTTTGTTCCTATAGAATAATGCTAAAGAATTGACTTGTAAAATTTTATTCAATACACTGAGAAGAGTTATCTAAACGTTTCCTCAGACGGACAAATCAATTWTATTTTTGTACATCGCTGGAAAAATTGCAGCAGCAAAAATTGCTGCAAACATTACCAGTGTAAATGCACCTTTACAGTAGTTCAAAAAAGTTCTTCATAATCCACTGAAACCTGCTTCTATTGTTGTATAAGTTCTTATTTTATTGTTCAGAAAAGAGAATCAGTAATTAATTGTTGTTAACAATTTTCAACCATCCCCTCCACCCTGAGTCAATTTTTTCCCACCACTTGGCGAAGAATGGTAAACAGCTGTACACAGAATGATTATATCACTGGTTATATCACAGAATGATTATATCACTGGTGATCCTACCCTGATATCTCTAGTCAGCCTTACACTTGACAGCTTGAAGTGTGCCGTTGGACCATTTGGGAGGTGAGAAATGATAATACCATCTTAGAATGGAGTTAAGGTTATATAAAAATCAAAAACAATGAATATAATTATTGAAGAAAACATCATTTTGTCATTACTTGTAATCAAGCATCTATATACAATGTACAGTAGTTTGGAGCTGAAAAGAATTGCAGTTGTATCAACAAAGATACTATAAGTGATTATTTTACAATGACGAGCATGTTTAAAGTGTTTTGTAATCACTCTTTTCTACCCTTTTTGCAAAATGCAGTTTAATCATTTTTTTCTTTGTCTTGCTGTGCACGATTATCCTGCTCTGATGACCATAATCTTTCTAAAGTGTTATTACCATATTTCAATGTGAACGTTGCAATGAAATAGCACAATTTATTTTTTTCTGTTGTTATTGTCAAGGATACTKGGTCTACTGTTGTCTTCATTTACAATGATCATAGCTGTATATCCTCTTTTTATGGCTTGTGGCATTATCTTCTTTAAATCCCTTCCCTTTCGTTGTCTAACTTCGGAGTTAGGGATACATYGACACAGCTCTTCCATGAATAGAACAGTTGCCTGGAAAAAATTACCAGGAAATACAACATGAATAGAACAGTTACCAGGAAATGATTACATAAGAGCATGTGTAGATAGTGAAGAACTGGAGGAATAAATGAAAGTAAGAATAAAAGGATGAATGAATGAATGGATTCATGAGTGAGAAATGAAATAATGGATGGCAGGATAAATGGATGATGAACGGATGTAGAGGGATGAATGAGTGCACTGAAAGATAAATGGAAGGATAAGTCAATGCAATGACAGTGAATGATGTCAAAAGCATTGAGACCATTAAATTCATCTAAATATACTCTTCAGGACGAATGAGTTTTTGAAACTACTGCATATCACTTAATTGCAGTGTCATCTAAACTTACATTTTTTGGCCTATCACTTGATGTTATAACTACTTTTGGCGTCACTTCTCTTTTGAAATAACAACTTAATTCATCTGTAGCCTCATCTTGAAGAATCTGGAAAATCAAAGTTAAGTCACTATTAAATTGCTTCATCAAACTTGTTTGTGTAAAAATAATTTATCAATAAGGATTACGTACCTCTTCGTCATCTATATCTACAATAGTCTCGTCTTTAATCCTCGAATTTTCTATAGTTTTCGGTACTTGTTTTGGAGGTGCCTGAAAATARAATTGATAAACAAATCACTCAGTGCTGCACGTGTACTTCAAAGTTTACATACAAATTYCATATTTACTTGATCTCCAAGAGCGTCTTCCTCGCGTTTTCTCTTCTTACGCCTCTCTCTTTTCTCTTTAGCCTTTCTWACTTTCTCTTTCCAGTAAACCTCACTTCTTTTTATCCGATTTTTGATGCGAGAGAAGTCGACATTAACTTTTTCATGTTCGTCCGCCATATTGGATTGATTGTGAGCCCGCGATTCTCTTGGATATCTTCGTAAAGCCGTCGGATCATTTTCGGAAGATGTCACGAATAGAAGTTTTCGGTATTTTTAAAACTTAAAAGTTTTTATTTGACAAAGTTATGTATCTAAATGGAGAAACTACAGAAAAAAAAACATTGAACAATGAAAACATTGAGTATTGTTTGGACGCTTGTGACTGGTGACATCACATTACTTTTCGACTGCGTTACCTCATCCTCGGGTGTCATGTGACTGGACTGTCACGTATTATCGATGTATTGCCGGGTGCTTTCCACATTTGCAAGAAGAATGACAACGATTACTCTAAATAATGGRCATCCAATGCCTCTTGTTGGCTTAGGAACGTGGAAAAGTAAACCAGGACAAGTAAAAAATGCTGTGGAAGCAGCCATTGACTGTGGCTACAAGCACATCGACTGTGCCGCGGCGTACATGAACGAGAAAGAGGTCGGGGAGGCTTTGAAATCGAAGCTGGGAAAAGTAAGAACTGTAGACGTGAACTTTTAGTTATATAATATAATTTTTGATGATCTGTGCTTGACTTTCAGTTTAGTACGTTTTTAGTTTAGTACGTTTTTTGCTGTACAATTATTTCAAGGTTGGAAAACCCTTTCTCAATAAGGTATTTTCAGTAAGTACAGTCACCCATCACGTGATCGTTATAAAACCAGTTGTGGGACAGTTTTTTCCAAGAAAAACAAGTCTACCTCAATGCAACATCTGAACCAGCTAGTYTACCTCTRCAWCTGAAATTGARAAACAAAMTCACTAAACTAAAAACAGCTGTTTTATCTTGACGCAATAGTCTCCATCACATTTCCCTGTGYTGTATTTGGAAGGTGATTGTGCCTCAGCATTGTATCAATACAGACAGTGAGTGTACAGTGATAGATATTCGTGAATAATTGTCTATAGGTGTGAAAAGAAGGTTTCCATCATTGTATGGTCACTGGTTGTCTTGCCTTGATGCAAAACTATGGTTTATTATACTTTGCAAGATGACATAAAGAAGCTGAACAGGATTAACTTTAGCAATACATTTGAATAATAATGTATAAGAATTATAATAATTATCKTAAATAATTCTTTGTAGGTTATCGAAAGAAAGGATATATTTATTACTTCAAAGTTGTGGAACACTAAACATAATCCCAACGATGTCCGCAGTGCTTGTCTGAAAACTCTTCAAGACTTGCAACTTGATTACTTGGATCTATATCTCATGCACTGGCCCATTTCATTTGAAGATGGGGATAATTATTTCCCTAAAGAAGARTCTGGCAGAGTGCGATATGCATATCATGATCCATGTGATACCTATAAAGCAATGGAGAAGCTAGTTGATGAAGGACTTGTTAAATCAATAGGTAATAAGACACTTAAATCCATGCACAGTTGTCACAGTAGACTGTTTATTTTCCCAGTCTCTACCTTGCTGCAACATTAGCTAGAACTATCCACCTGGCTGTGGAAGCCTGCTTCCACAGAAAAAATACATTAATTTTGTAGGATTTTCTCRGTTTCATAACATAGTCAGGTTCCCACTTTTATACATACATGTATAATTACTAATTTCATATTATTTTTCAGGTCTGTCAAATTTCAATAGTAAACAAGTTAGTGATATCTGCAATGTCGCACGAATCAAACCAGCCATCAACCAARTAGAGTGTCATCCATATTTGACTCAAGTACCTTTGATTGAGCATTGCAAGAAACTTGGTGTTTCAAGTAAGTATGATTTAGTCTTGTGAGTTATTTATTGAAATGGAAATGAAGCAGAACACACCACAGCTGTGAAAGTAAATTGAAAAGTTTGTTGACTTTACCACTGTTTTCACTGCTATGTGACCAGTTCAAAATGAATCTTGACAGCTGTAATYGACAACTGACTGCTGTCAATCAACTCAATTGCTTTGACACTGACCGCTGTTTTTTTTTTGCGTGGAAAATTTTGATTGATGGCAGTCTATCGTTAATTGCATGTTGTGCATTTTTCTGGGCTATACGCATAGCAATCCAAATGATGTTAACACTCTCTTCCATCATTGTATTGTCATATAAGTACATGTATGGAGGGAAGATATAGTGCTTTAAACTACTACATGTACATGTGTTAGTGGAATATTTTACAACTTTGTGTGCTGTTGCCAAGCCATCAAATTCCAGYTTAAAAAGATAAAAAAAGATGACATTATTTCAACTTYTCAATCCCYACACTGTCTTGTATTCTCTGCAAWATGCAGAAAACATAACTGCAGTGTTTTGCTTCAGTAACTGCWTATAGTCCTCTTGGTTCGCCTGATCGTCCATGGGCCAAACCAGGTGATCCAAGTTTACTTGATGATCCTAAACTCACTGAAATAGCCAATAAATACAGCAAGACTACTGCTCAAGTCTGCATCAGGTTCCAGGTTCAAAGAGGGGTTGTAGTGATCCCAAAAAGTATTACACCAGAAAGAATTAAAGCCAATTTTCAGGTACTTGTTTTCTTGAAGATCAGAGAAGTAATCAAAGGGTTACTATTTATCAWATGATTAATGCTGTAAATATTATATTCAATAATTATAATCTAATATAATATAATATACCAAATATTATATATAATATCTATGCAATATTGTAGTTGTATATCATCTATCTGAAATAAACTTTGTATTTAAATTGTACAATTTATCATTGTGTAAGTTTGAAACTGTAACTGTGAAATTGCAAAATAATCATTGTTGATTTTTAGGTGTTTGATTTTGAATTGACTGGTGATGAGATGGGTGTTTTGGAGTCATTTAATCGCCCATGGAGGGCCTGTCTTGTCAAAGCTGTGGTAAGTTTGTTTTCAACATTATTGATATTATAGCTATCATAGTACGCACTCTCTGATTGGACAAAGACTCACCGGTAAACACATTGRTGCGAAAATGCCTCCGACTCGAGATTTTGTATGCCTTTTTAGTGTTCTCCCAACATCCTACATTGTTTATTTCACCATAGGAATGGACGAAAATATGTTGTTTATTAATATAATAATTAATTAATATATTAATGTATAGTGACAATTTTCGTTTGTTTGTTATGCAGATTGATGGTGAAGAAGTTGTTCGAGATGCTCATCACCCACACTTCCCTTTCAACATTCCCTTTTAAGAACAAAACAGCAAGAAAAAAATGAAATTAGTATTGCTTGCATACTTACTGTGACTTTTGTACTTTAGAAAAATGAATTTGTTGGTATCAGAGTGTTATTTTTGCGTTTCTATTTTGGTTTATTTTATTTCCAAAAACTACAAATATATAAATTAGTGATAATAAAGATAGACAGCTGGTTTATTCATAAAAAAAAACATTACAGCCAAAGGGCCTTGAGTATAGTGTAGTACATCAAAATTTAACGATGAATCCATACAATTATTGTTTGATCAGATCCTGATATAGTTTCTATTAAATTGGATCTCTGATTCTAGTTTTATTGTATTTTTGAGTCAAGATTTATTTGTATSTTGCCTGATCCCTCTCTCTGGTCTAGAATTTTACAGTTCTGCAAGTCTCACAAGGTTATTGRATAGCAATAAAACAAATTTAAAACCAAATTTTGTTGAGTGATTAGTTTGAGTGTAACCCTCTTTAGTGCCGTGGGATGAAAAGGAAATAGGGAAAGGACTGTCACGTCCCTTTTTTCTCTTCCATTCCCTCTCATATTCCTATTGAAGTCCTAGTAATTCTTTGATTTTTTATCAATCAATGCAAATCCCCATTATCCATATTGTATGTTTTGGGTTTCTTAGCAAGCAGTTCAGATTTTCTTGAAAAAAATGCAGTAATTTGAGTAAAATWACCAAACGCTAGGCACTCAGTCTCCCAAAATAGTAATAATAATATCATAAAGCTAGAAAATTGAGAGTTATGTAAGCTGGGGGCAATGAGGCTATACTCAAGTCTATATTTTTATTTGAGAAAATAATATAAAAAGTATCACTCTCATGTGGGTGGGAATGAAGAAGCTTTACGCAGAAAAAAATTGAAAGGAGTGACAAGGACTGAGTATAAGAAACATGAAAAAAGTTGTATCTAATTTTCATTTTTCCTTTAAGTCATTGCCTTTAGCCCACTTGGTAACCCTGGTCTCAAGCGAAGCATTCCTGACCGGCCCAAGATCTTAATGGATCCTATTCTTAACACAATTGCTAACAAGTACTCCAAAACTGCAGCCCAGGTCTGCATACGATTCCAAGTTCAAAGAGGACTTTCTGTCATCCCTAAGAGTGTAAAAYCAGAAAGAATTAGAGAAAATATCCAGGTATCTGGTATCTGTCTTAGCCAATTGAGCACACAGGGAAAGCAATCGGTTATTGTATAATTTTATTGCGTGCTAATGAGAACTACCAGCTTCTGACATCATCTTATTCACATGTAAAGCTAGAGATATCCCCATCACCCCAATCCCCTCTCATCATAATAATTATATTAAAAAAACTAAACTGTATTTTAAAATGCATCTGTTTTTCAGGTTTTTGATTTTGAATTGACTTCTGATGAATTGTCTGCAATAGAGTCTTTAAATAAACCATGGCGGGCACTTGTTATTACTATAAAGGTGAGAAAATGATGCAACGTTTTCTCATATTTATTTTGTATGCTTGTTTTGTTTTTGTTTTGTTTTTTTGTTTTTTGTTTTTTTGCTTTTGGTCTCGTAGCAACGTGACGTCACGACTTAAGGACTCTATAAATGACTGATAATGTACTGTTGATAATTTTAGCAACCAGAGTGATGATAGCATTGCTGAATGTTGAATAATATTTTCTTCATTCATTCATTCATTCATTCATTCATCCATTTATTTGTTTTCATTTTCAGATTGATGGTAAAGAAGTTGTACGAGACGAAAACCATCCCCATTATCCATTTAACATTCCTTTTTAATAGGATTCTTGTCAAAATTTTATTTTTCTCCAAACTGTAAAATTGAATTATTTATATCTGGATTTAAATTAAATCATCGTTTGTATCTATTGTACACGTTTAAAATATACTTTCGAATAAGATAAAGTTTGTTAAGTGTCTTTGATATCACTGAGGGATTTTTAGAGTTTAAAACCCTGTGAGAAAGACTCTTTTGCTTTTGTTGGAAAATACTATTTAGAAACTAATAATAATCTTTAGTTACCTTTTTTTCATGGACTGATTGCGAAAAGAATCAAATTATTTAATATATTAATAAAATATGAAATAAAATACTCGTGTTATTCTCAGAGGAAACCCCGCAAATGTCGTAAATATCGCCCCGCCCCCTAACGCCCACTTTCCACTGCTGACTTGTTGCGCGGGCTCACCAATTAATRCAGATAATCCWTGGAGACTCGTGGTAAGTGGATTTTTTCTTTGCTTTCTAACTTAAAACGCKTGAATTTTGKTTTTCACTTAAGATTTTAATRAAAGAAGGTAGGTTATGCATGACAAATTATGCACAGCATTCTATGAGCGATAAATCGTGCATATTGTAAATCGTTTTCGCGCGCACGTTCTGGGAACAAGAGAGAAGTTGCAATTTGTGTTTTATGATTTTTTCCGCAAAGTTCCGAGCTCGGTATTTTAACTTGATTTTAGTTACAGAACTTTGAATTCTTGAATACTTTTTAATTTTTAAGACCGATACAGACGATCATGTGTTTCAATAAAATATGCGCAACTTTTTTGCACATAAATTGCGACACAACTAACGAAAATACTGAGACACTTGTTTTGAGACATATTTAAACGCAAAAATTTTCAAAACTTTTTGTTTCTTGGTCTGTTTTTAGCCATTCACTTGATTTGCGTATTGATAAATATATATATTGTTTCATTTTCCAGTTCMAGACAGAATCATGTCAGCACAGCTCAACTCAGGATACCGCATGCCCCTAGTTGGCTTGGGAACCTGGAAAAGCAAGCCTGGTCAAGTCAAGAATGCAGTTATGGTTGCTATAGATGCTGGGTACAGGCATATTGATTGTGCCTACATGTATGGTAATGAAACAGAAGTTGGSGAAGCACTTAAGGAAAAAATTGGAACAGTAAGATCATTATGATTGTTATAATAATTATTATAGTCATATAAATTAACTTTTTTCCAAATGTTATCACAGGTTGTGGACAGAAAAGATTTGTTTATAACTTCCAAATTATGGAACACGAAGCACTGTCCCAGTGATGTCCGCAATGCTTGTTTACAAACCCTTAAAGACCTTCAGTTGGACTACGTAGACTTGTATCTTATTCATTCTCCAGTCTCYTTTAAAAGTGGTGATGAGAGGTTCCCCAAGGATGAGAACAATAAAATTTTGTTTGCTTATTATGATCCTTGCAATACATGGAAGGCTATGGAGGAACTTGTTGACGAAGGGCTTGTCAAGTCAATAGGTAATGATGCTGTCCCTGTTAAGCCCAACTTGGGTGGGGGTGTGCCGCTGGGAACTGAAAACCTTGTCCCTGTTCCAGAGTGAAATCACTGAAACTATACCCTGTTCCAGAGTAAAATCGCTGCAAACGACTCTCTTGTCGGCGGCACGTAGACTGAATTTTTACCCCGTAAATTTTTACCCAGCATCAATTTAATTCTGGAATTAAACCCTGACCCTGTTTCAGAGTAAAATCGTTACCCTGGGCTCTGTGGTCATTATTCGTTCATTAATGATTTTATCTTAATTATATTTAGGTATTTCCAATTTCAATAGCAAACAAGTTACTGACATCTGCAATATTGCACGAATTACACCAGCTGTCAATCAAGTAGAATGTCATCCATACCTGACGCAAGTACCCTTGATTGAACACTGCAAGAAACTTTGTGTACTCAGTAAGTCTTTTTCCTTTTTTGTCTCTTATTTTCAAAAACCATTCTGCTACTGCATGAACTTAAGCATGAAATTGAATTTCTGATGTATGATTGTAAAATAGACACAATAGAAATTCAGTCGAGGGTGATATATCATTGGTTTTATGACTTTATCTAATTTTGTTTTGTTTTGTTTGTTTAATTAAGTTTCTGCGTTTAGCCCTTTGGGCTCTCCTGATCGTCCATGGGCCAAACCTGGTGACCCCAGTCTTCTCGATGACCCTAAGCTTACAGCAATAGCCAAAAAGTACWGCAAATCAACTGCTCAAATCTGTATCAAGTTTCAAGTCCAAAGAGGGATACCAGTTCTGCCTAAAAGTGTCACACCATCACGAATAAAGGAAAATTTTGATGTATGTTTCTGAAATCCTTCATTTTTTATTTTTCTTCCTCTTTTCCGTTTCCTTGGCTCTCTCTTTCCCAGTCATTTCTCTYCTTCCCAGTTTTCTCTTCACCTCTTCCTTCCCTCCTTTTTTCCCTACTCTTTTCATCCCCAGGACTATCAGTCTTTCCTAATTTTTTACTTATTGATATTAGGTGTTTGATTTTGAGATGACTGATGACGAGATGTCAATCTTAGAAGCTTTCAATCGAAATTGGAGATGTTTTATGCCTTGTGTTGAGGTAATGCTGTATCAATATTATATATTATTATATCATCAAATATTACTGAAATACATTGTAAAAAAATACACAGTAAAAATCAGTTTTCTTAATAATATGAAAACAGTGCTGATGCATTCTTTCCTCTTTTGTTTGCATTGTACAGGTTAATGGAAAAAATGTCCCAAGAGACAAAGACCATCCTCATTTTCCATTCAGCATTCCTTACTAAGTTAATAATAATATAGTTAATAAATTCCTTTTAAACTTACCCAATGTGATTGGTGTCAAAAGACGTTAATCTGTCAATCATACTTGTGACTAACAGTATTTAGTCATTGGCGTAAAGCTTCTGTTTGTTGTGAGTCACAAACAYATTTTTAGATATAGGTAGTATATTGTGAAATGTAGTAAAAATATAAATAATGTACAATTGCGAGGGCAAAGGAGTTTGGTAATTTTGTAGTGTGAAATTATTAATAAAATTGTTGTTGTTGATGTCTTGTCTTGTGACTTTTGGTGCAATGTCAAAAAATATTTAAARAATTTTGTTCATAATTTTCTCATGATACTCACCGAATTATGGTAAAAGGTAATAGAATTATTTTCCATAAATATTTTCTAGTAGAGAATTTAAGCATGCCTAAACTGGTAGCGAGCTACTTTAACTTTTTCCGACGCGGTCAAGAGGACTAGGTTCTAATTATGCCGCTGGTCGTATAGAGAATTTGCGGGCTCATTTACAAAATAGCGCCAAAACTTGAAAGAGATTTTCAATGTTTTCTTGAAGAAATCATGGAAGAATYCTTTAATAAAACCGTTCCCTTGTTCTTAAAACATACAGACAACAACGACAGGTAATGTAACTTTTTAGATGATATGTTGTTTTTCAATTGAGATGCTTATTTTGAATTTATTTTCCGGAGCGAAGAAGATCTTGCGTTCGTATCTCTGTCACCAACCGACTCTCCTCAACCGGCCCACATAAAGTAAGCTTTGAAATTTGATTTTGTGTTTAAAAATGCATGAAAGAGCTTAATTGAACTATTTTTATTTTTATATATTTAAATTACATCAAATTCAAGCACATTAAATTGTTTTCCGATGTTTATAGGAGCTGGCAGTTCGGCTAACTGATGACAGCGACCCCTTCTTTCTTTATTCTTTGATTCTTAATGAAGAGGATTTCCAAAGGTAAAACGATCAAGACTCAAATTATGAACTTAAGAAGATTGAATTAAATGAAACTGACGTTCACATTATATTTTTTCAGTCTTAAAAGTCAGCAAGGTCTACTGGTGGACTTTGGATCATTCCCACAGAAATTTGTGGACCTCTTGGAAATGTGTCTCAAAGAAGAACACAAAGATATGCCCAAGTATAAACTAAGTTTGTATTTTTAAATGCAGCAGGGCTCAGACAGCAGTTATTCTATGGTGTAAAYATACATTGTTCCAGTTTTCTTCCTGCCTGTCTCTTGGGCTCTTGTTTGTTTGCAAGAACTCTCCAAATCATTGCCTCAAATTAATTTTCTTCAGAGGTATCTGTTACTAGTAAGCAAAATGTTTTCTTTTCTATCCAGGTTTCTCCTTCAGTTTGTGTCAACGTCAGGTTCTTATGAAAGAGGTGTTGGCAATCTTAACATAATAGAGACCAATCCATTCAAACACTTGACGCATTTATCCTTGAGATTTGTACCTGGAAATGATGCTGAAGTTAAGAAATACTTRGCAGATTGTTTGAAAAAACTAAAGGTAGTTCTTGTACATGTACCAGCATGATATATTCAAATTATTACATCGTAAGGATTATTATTATTTTAATAATCTTTTATGGTATACAGTGTTAAATGAGCTCTGTAGCTTTTTAAAACACAGTCGTTCACCATGTTTATCCAGTTATATGTTTTCTATTTCTGTTCAATCTCTAGGAGGAAAAGACAGCTTTAGAACATAAACTGTCAAGTACTGAGCAAGATCTTCGACAAAGATTAGAAAACTGCCAAGAGGTAAAATACACTTGTATTATTCTAAGCATGAATGGACATGCTTGTAAAATCTTATTCAATTTCTTTCTTCTTGAAGGTTCTTTCCTCAAAATCAAAACAGCTTGACACCATTCAAGCAGAATTCTTTGCCAAATCAACAGAGTTRTCTAACAAACATGCTCAGGAATTGACCGAAGAAAAACAAAAGATTTTGCAGGTACAGCWKATAAMTCCTTTCCTTTGCGAACCTTTTYMAARKKKTAAWTTWKTTWTTTTTTAATTAGATGAAGAGYAAAACTTTACAAGAATTTGAAAAAGAAAGAAAAGAGCAGGAACACAGTCACAGAAATATTGTAAGTTTATGTCTTCGCTTTTGGGAATAATAAATAAGTATGCATTGAAATAGAAAGCAAATGTTGCTGTTAGAGGCTCTTTCAGCTCCTTCCTAAGGCAATTAATTCTTGGGATTCCTGTGTTGTGAAACAGGAAGCCCAAAATTTCTGTTTTAAATGACTGTGGAGRGCACAAAAAGTTTTAATTGTGGATTATTAATAATCATATTCGTGTTGTTCAGGTGAAGAGTCTAGAGTATAGAATTTCAGAATCTGATGCGCAAATTAAGGTAATAATGATCATTATTGTATTTCAAAAAAAATATTTTATTCTGGTGTATGAAAAATAATTATAACCATATTATCATGAAACTCTTGRTTGAAACACTTGATTACATATCAGCCTTGGTACAGCTGTTACCCACCCCTCCCCCATTGGGAGAATTTTACCTGTGGGGGAGAGGGGAAGAGAATAATGCAGGCCAGCTAGCTTTCAACCTTTCCTTTTCTTCCAGAGACTYACAGACAAGAAATATCAAGATGAAAACACAATTCGTGAGCTGAGAACAAAGCTGTCTGGTCTAGAAGGGGTTTGTATTGTGTGTTATAAAAACTTTAAAAACTTAAAACTTTAACTTAATACTTTATAAAAACTGAACTTTTATTTACCCAACTTGTGTTTTTTTTTTTTTCACTACAGGAATATGGTCACATGAAGGAGGAATTGTCTTCCCTTCGGCGAGGTAATGCTGTGCTRAATTCTGAGCAACATGAAAGGGATAAAACTCTGTCACACTTGAGAACAAGGGTTGCTGTTTTGGAGCAGGAATTGAGAGACAAAGAACAGGTATATTTTTATAAAATTTCTAAAATATATAACGCGCGCTCTGATTGGTTGAAGACCGTGCTTATATCAGAGGACATATCGGCAAAAAATCTTTTACGCTCGTGTTTCTCTCGTGTTTTTCAACTCCCACCGTGTTTATATCAGAGTTCAGAGACGCGCGCCGTTTTATATTTCTTAAATATAGGACGTCGACGTACACTAAAAGTGTGTAAACATCGTAGCCATTTATTACTAAATGGTGCTAATAACAGAAGTTGATTAAACAATTTAATGTGCTTGAATTTCAGGTTATATCTCGAACTAACGATCTCCTTGAATCAGCAAACGATCAGAAGAGAAAGCAAGACACAATGCTAGAAAACCAACAACAAGAAATCAAAAAACTTGAGAAAAGTATTCAAACAGTTTCAAATGATGTAGTCAAGGGYAACGAAATTATACACCGACTACAGTCAGAACGTCAAGCAATGAAATCTAAGGTATTCGTTTTTTGTTGTTGTTTGTTCGTTGTTGTTTTTTTTTTCAATATTAGAGTTCAACCATCTACTTCGTTTTATGGTGATATTTGGATACTAGTCGTATTTTGGTGTAAATCATAACAATAACAGAGGCTCGCAAATCATAATGGTGCAAACTGGCCCTTAAAGAAAATGTCATACAAATTTGGCTTTTTGGCCTGTAAATTAGATTGCTTATTAAATTGTTTTTCCTTCCTTGTTTCTTTTCAGATAAAATTAAAAGATGAACTAACAAACAAACAAGGCAAAATTATCAATGAAAAGGTACAGTATAATAATGAAAAATTATTATTAAATGTTTTTACTTGCGCATGAGCCCTTCCCTCAAAAACTTCTGAAATTCAAATTTTCATAGCTCTTGCAATATGTTCGAAAAATGGTTGAAAGGAAGATGAACTTTTGTGTTGTAAAAATATTGTTCTCATCAGGGTGAAGAACTTCAAAAGACGAGAAAGGAGAACGAGAATCTCAGTGAAACTCTAAAACGAAAAGATGASGAGATTAAGAAAATAAGCGAAACATTACAAGCCACTACCGAGAAACTTGAAGAAAGTAAACATTTGTTAAAAACAAATGAAAATGGTGAGAACTACTTTAATGGAACAGTCGACCCTCAATTTAACGGCCCTTTATTTAGCGGCCACCCTCTGTTAAGCGGTCGCTCATGAATACAACAAGTCCCGATTCTCGTGTATATTTACTATAAACTTGACCTCTATCAAACGACCAAACCTCTATTAAGCGGCCATCTGGTCTTTTCCCATTTTTCTTCATTCAGTAGTTCGATTATTTATTTGTTTACTCCATTGTTTCCATAGTAATAAACTACTTAAACAGACAGATCAATGATCAAATGACAGTTGGTCAGCGTCATGGTACTTTTGAACTTCATTCAACCAAAGATCCTCTTCTAATTCGTGAAACTACATCGGTAAGATGATGATGATGTTGAATGGTGATGTTGAAGGATGATGATAATGATAATGATGTTGATAATGAATGATAATGATGATGATGATTATTATTTTTATTAATATTTTATTATTATTTTTATTATTACATTTTTTCGATACGTTCGAAAGTATTGATGGGGCACAGTTTATTTCTCTCGTCCGTTAAGGCTTCGCTAGCCTACGTCACATCCGGACAAACTACGGTTAACCATAGGCTTGGCGGGTAGTAGGAGATGGCGCTTGGTTCTTTCACGTCCTTGTAATTAATCTAATCTTCTATTGCAGGGTRTTAATGTGAATAAGAATGTCACTCCTCCTCAAGCGTTTGTACCTCGATTCAGCGGATCAAACACGCAAGTAAGTCTAACTACACAACTTTCCTCTCACAATTTACGTAACCGCAAGTTGAGGAACATGGCTGTTGCTTTACGCTGGCATTTTCCGAATATTCATACATATACGTTAACTTACTTTAAAATTTACGATAATTTTCAATCGCTTTATTACGTGCCTTCTAGTCAGCGTTATTATGCGTAAATATAAACGGATGTGGAAATGTACAGTTAAGCTTACGCAACGCCTCCTTATCGTTCAGTATGTCTGAAAAAAGCACTTATGCAACGGACGAGGACTTACTGCTTTCACTATATGTCACATAATGAAGCGTTACGCAACACTCACGCAGCATTCCGTCTCTCTCTAGGTCACATATCGACCAAAYACGCAGCGTAAGCCTACGTTTCCGCGTCCTCTTACGCACTCGACTCCTACCATCCCGGAAGAAGAYGAATCTAGAAGCCCTGTGACTACGACCCCAAGTTCGTTCACTATAAACTCGAGAAATAATAACGAAAACCAACCTTTATTAGACCCTAAATATCTACAGAGAAAGGAACAAATATCTGAGGTCTCCGATCAACATAAAGAAAGCGTACCTCGTGACAATAGGGTGCTTAAACCGATACAGCGATTTGGTCCCAATGTACGAACCGCGCCGCCTGTTCGTCCTCCTCTCATGTCAGCGTATTTTCCTAAAGACTCTTAACGTTACTCGCATATGTGTTTATCTCTAAACTCTGTGGGTGTTTGCCGAAGGTAATGGATGTTATACTCATTAACAATGAAAAAATGGGAAATGAGAAGAAAGAAAGAAATGAAGTGAGCAATAAGAAATATAGGAACGAAAGACAGGAAAAATAGTAGAAAAGAAAGCACAAAGGAAGAATAGAAGAGAAAAAGAAAGCGAAGGAGGCAGAAAGTATAGTCTCACAAGTGTAAAAAGACGAATTTATATTACAACCTTTCAAATCAATCAAGTTTTTATTCGACAATAAAGAATCATTTATCAAAGTTTTCTGGTATTTAGAATAATTTCAATACAGGTTCAAGGACTAGAGGAAAAAAGACTTCATTAATTAATTCTTCGGTCATTTGATTAGACATTGAATTGGCTGCTATGTACAAGTATAATATCCAGAGTTTTTGTTGTTGGCTTCAGAGAGAGCGACCGAGTGATTCTAAATCTATTTACAATRAGTGAATGTCCATATGCATTCGTATATTCTCTATCTGGTGAGAACAGTCTRCAGTTCAAACGTGGTATGTTTGAACGTATCCATCCTTCTTCGTAGCTGAGCGCAGCATGTAGTCACTRAGAGTGAAAGGTCGTCTCTTTGGACCTCTTGACTTCTTCTGGAAATCCTCAGTGTTGCCTGCCTTGACGACGGCTTTGCCCTTTGCCTCATCACATGCAGTCTTGCCAGGCAGTKCTGGTACAGGAGCGAGAGGAAGGGATGGCATGGCAGCCTGAACATCCTTGCTTCTCTTGCTGGTCTTCTTTACTGCGGCTTTCTTTTCAGTTGACACAACGAAAATGTCCTGGTTGCCAACGTCTTCAATGACTTTCAGGATTTCGTCGGTGGATGGCTCTTCAAGCGCCAATACAGCGGTAGGCAATGGTGCCTTTGTCTTTCCGCTGGAGGCTTTGAGTCTTTTCTTTGCTTTTCTGGAAAGTCTTGGTCGTACTTCCTTTACTTCTTTKACATTTTCTTCCTTTTCWGGGAGTTTACTTTTGACTTTTTTGACTTTCTTTGTTGGTGTGGTGTATTCAACAATCTTTGGCTTCTTTCTGTGCTTGGCGGCTGGCTTTTGATATGATTTGAACCTAGAAGTAGATAAAAATAAGTTCGAATTAATGTAAGTTGACTCGCTTTTCCTCTTTCTGGYTTCGATGCAGRAGGCTAAAATTTACTTACAGGAATAACGTGAGGGCCRMSAGAGCKACGAACAGCACAGCAAATTGATACAGGTCGAAAAAAACGATATGCGAAGGAATGGCTTCAACCGCAGGAAAGGCTGAAGAAATTGTGTTTGAGAGAATTACTGTCATGTTGCWACATTGRAATYTCTCTSAAACTGATTTGTTCATCAATTTGCTATCATTATGACGTCACAGGCGCGCGCGAGTTTACGTCACCAAKCGCGCGCTAYATCGATAAAGTATCGATTTGACAAAAAAATATATTTTATACTCATTTCATTAGGAAATCCTACATTTAATAYTTAAAAAACATTTTTTGTATGYATYGGAACGTGGGAAAACGACTTTTATATAATCTTTTACGTAAAAAATGTTACACACTTTCGATTATCAATCAATAATCCTTCGGCATTTGACATTTCCTAGTCAATAGTCTTTCGGTTCTTTTTGCTCATCAGTCAATAATTCTTCGGCATTAAAGCTTATCCAATCAATGACCTTTCTTTTTTTACGTAATGTTTCGATTGTGGCCGGGAATATTTCGTCTTTCTTGAGTAAGGTCGAGCAATTGTGGGAGAACAAATTTGTTCATTCTCCGGCGTGAAAAAAAGTATTATAATAACTCTACCCTTCGCATTGCTTATTATACGGAATATAGCACTACTGTTTTTTTCGGATTCTGATATTATCCTCATAACATGATGAACTGATTGTTAATATTATCTTAATAATGCAATTTGGACTCCCCTGAGGATACCACACCTACACAGTTCYACAACAAACTGTTGTACACTCGATGTCGAGTCAGTGATAATTCTCAKCTTTTGTTAAAGATTGTGAAGTATTGACAACCTGATGGRTGAAATTACGTGATRATAACAAAWAGAAAAAGAATTGAAAGTTCTTCGTGAAGCATTTCCGTCCTTTTGTATAAAATTTTCTTGTCTYGATTAATGTACGCTTCATAAACTYCATGAGTCAASACCCAAAACATTAACTCGAATTAAMCACCGTRAAATCATCCTTTTTCATGACGTTTTATTCCCTAAACGTAAAAGTTTACCTTACAAACTAGATGAGCATTCATGAACGGTCCCATTGGGAACACTTCAAGCGCATAAAACTTGTGTTTTCATCTTTTTTTTTTTGAATAAAGGTCGCTTGTTCTCTCGATTTTTCTTTTACAAATCATTGAAAGCTTTGTCCTGGTTGAACACTAACGTCCTAATTTCATCAATGACAAATCGTAATTTATAATCAATGGTTGTGTACTGAGACGTGCMGCTTTGCTGTTGAGTAACTCAAGACGGCTGATTAACCAGATGATTCTTGTACTAGAACAGTTCTTTCCGTTTGCTGTTAAGTCTACAAGAAACACCATATTTATGCTGTATTCCGACAGGCTTGGACAGCATGCAAAAGGAGCAAGATTCTCAGCACGGCTCTTCGTCTTGGAATTTGAGCGTAGCTGTGTTTCCTAATAATGACAAGGCAAACAATATTGCAAACAAGCAAGAAGAGCTCTTCACAGTTAGTTTGGCTCCTTCRGAAGCCTTGAGTGGCAGCGAGACTGCAAGCCACAGCTCACAAGAACAGGAAAGTGAAAGTACAAACGATGAAAGTGGCAMTKCRAAGAACAAGCACCTTGTAAACCGAGGAAAACCGCCGTTCTCKTACGTGGCTTTGATTTGCATGGCAATTGCAAGCTCCGTGGAGAAGAAGCTCACTTTRTCTGATATTTATAACTTCATCATGCAACGCTTYCCCTTCTACAAGACCTGCCGTGCAAACTGGAAGAACTCAATAMGACACAACCTAACTCTYAACGACTGTTTTGTCAAGCTACCAAGAGATCCTCGAGCAGCTGGGAAGGGCAATTATTGGACTATTGATCCGAGTAGCGTCGATATGTTTGACAATGGAAGCTTTTTGAGACGAAGACGACGMTTCACAAGAGATGAAATGGCGCAACATCAAGTGAATAGAAATCCTGCTCTTCTTTTGAAGGAAGTTGGTTTAGAGCCAAAACACAAATCCTCTTTACCAAGCGCCAGCTGCGAGGGTCAACCCTCGGGACGACCCGCAGGACAGACGTCGAAGATTGTGCAGATTTCAACCTCTCGTGACCAGCTCCGTGGATCGATGATAGTTCGCGGAGCTCCGACACATTTGCAAAGGTTTGTGTCTCCTGTGCCTTCACATGGTTTACGYCTGCCCACACCACCCCCGACAGGTCAGGTTCGTCAAATGTCATCTACAGAGAACGGTTGCATCAACGGAAATCAATTGACACCAAACTCACTTGTTGCATCAATGGAAAAGAGCCCTACACCACCCTTGCCAGTCAATTCTATCCGCAACGATTCTGCATCTCAAGGAAATCCTGAAGTGGTTTACATGGGACAGCTGGAATACGACCGGAGATTCAGCTTGTGTACGCCCGTATGGACCAATACGATACCGCTTGTGTCTCCCCGGCCATCGTACCCCACTCCGATAACTGTGCAAGGTCATTTTGCCCAGTCATGTATCTATGGYAACAACATGAGTCGTCCCGCAGAGAACCCGAACTGGAGYTCCCACGTAAGTCCTTATGGCTCTTTACCAAGCTTCTCGAGCTTCTCGGCCAGACAACCGGTCCCCTATGTGCGTTTTAATCACGAGGCAGTGCCGAGTGTTGTCCCACAGAATGTCCTCTGTACTGCGGGTCGTGTCCCGTACCCTGTTGCGAGTGGAGCAAGAGTAGGTCCTCACCTGACTTCGAGTATTGGTCCATGTAATGCCTCGAATGGTTCAACTGTCAACCCGCGAAACATTCCACCAGTGACATCATCAACAAGCTCGCAAGGAACCATGGATAAAGTTTTGAGACGTGGCTAAGAAGTTCGATATGCATCATGRGTCCTCTCGATAGGATCATAAATAATGTAGGATTAAAACTGATAAAATGAAATATTGGGAATAGAATGGGAAAATCAATATCAAGTTACTAATAAGATAATAGTTGTWATAGTCAATAGGATGTTAGAGATTTTGAGAAGACTCACCTGAACGTTATCATATCAAGTATTTCAAGGACTTATTGAAAACCACTTTTTCACGGCCTTATAACTAGCAAAGAATAAATAATTCCAGACTTAAGTGTTTTCTTCMATATTTTATTTTCTAAAATGAGAAAATGTTCGAGGCGCGTGTTCGAGGCTTGGGTTTAACTCAGTTTTGTCGTACCGACCTGCATCTGATCGCAACGTATTTGGTTGCGTTTACGCGTATCCGGATTTCTTCGTAAAACGCATATTCTTTAGTATCATTAGTATTTATACGTTTCCTTTTACGTATACGTTTTCCTTTCAAAGATATCCGGATTGTACGATTGTTGTTTTCCACGCCAAACCTACGGTAATGCTGTTACGTTTAGACGCATGCGACAGTTACGGTTAACACACAATAGCTTACTGAACGTACGTTTAACCGCTGAAGAAAACTTTTAAAATTGACTTTCTTGTATGCTAAAATTCCCTAAAAATTGTCCCTTTCCCTTTCCTTACAGCATCAAGAAACAATGCTAGAATAAAAATGGTATATTATATTATAAGAATTCATTTACTATAAATATGTCTAAAATCTTTTGTCTGTGTGGGGTGGTGAGGGGGTGTTCATATAACGTTATAGGTGTGATGCCGTGTCACATGTTTTTCCTCTGTATTGTTCATTTGATTGTTCACGTGACCATTCACGTGACCGTTCACGTGATCTAGCCCTTTGCTGACTGTAGGTAAAGTGTATTTCATCTGGTGAGCATCGTATTTTGCCTGTAAACAAAAAATTAATGTTTAAAATCAACCCTTGATGTGCCCCCAGAAACCCATTCCATTTTTTTTTTTCAATTTTTCATTTTTTTCACTTCCCATTTTTTCCTTTCCCATTTTTCACTTTTTCCCTTTCATTCACTCACCTTATTATATAAAAGAACTCCWATTATAGCTGTTAACATTCCCAGSGCATTGACAAGAGTGACAGGATTCCGAAGCATAAACAACGAAAACRATATGACTAATATTCTTTTTGTTGCTGCCGCTACTGAATAACTGAGTGGAGTAACAAGGGAGAGGACTGTAAAAGCAACCATGTTTTGCATAAAGTTAAGAAATCCAGTCACKGTAAGCATAATTGTAAGCCATAGAATACTTTCTTGACTCTGAAAAGAAAATAGAAATAACAAATGATTTCCAAAACCCTTAAAAAAACAGCTAGCACGTTTTTTGCACAGTTTTTCCAAGATTGCTTGCATTTGTACCCCCCAAATACTTTGATGTTGAAACTTACCAAATCTGAATAAGTTAAAATTTTTCTCAAATCATAAAGTGCCCAGAAAGGAAAGACAATAATTGTTGATATTCTTGCTAAAAGATAAAGCAGTCTTAGGTGGTTGATATGTAACTCCTTGAATGCCTACGACAAAATAAAGCAATGAAATTGTTTGTAATCCTCTTTCAAGTTTATAAATCACTACTTAATTCTTTTATCTCATTTTCCATTCACTGATTTATCCATTAATCTACTTTTTGCTTTGGAAGTTCAGCTCACCTTTTTAGTAAAAATATTTTGCACTGAGAACGTAACTGTTGCTAACAAAGCACTCAATAGACCAACCATGTCAAAAGACAGCTCTGTTACTGTAGCAACCATAACTCCAAAAACGATGGGTATGAGAGAAAGGTAGACCTAATAAAACAAYGGACATTATTMCAATAATATCAACTTAGCCGTTTGACTCCTGGGACAATAMTCCAGTTTCGAATTCATAGCGCAAAACCGCTGCTTTATTTGACAACATTCTCTTGCGCAAAGACCTTACAAACACAAAAGATAGCACGAGAAAATGTCGTTATTACAATAGACTCGAAAATTTGCATTTTCCCCGAGTTGAGACTAACCCTGTATTCCCATGAGACTTAAGGTATGAGCCTTCTGGGAATACAGGGTTAGCCTCAACTCGGGGAAAATGTAAATTGTTAGCGCTATTGTACAAGCAACATTTTCTCGTGCTTTCTTTTGCGTCGCTAAGTTCTTTGCGTAAGAGAATCTGCTGTCAAATAAAACAGCGGTTATTCGCTTTGAATTTGAAACTGGAGTATTACAAATTTCAAATTTCTTACCATTGTTGTATGTTTTACACCTAAAATGATTCTTGATAAAATTACTGTATAAATAGGCATTGTGGCCTGAAAACAGAATCACAGATTATAAGTTATCAACACAGATACAGACGCAAGTAACATCATCTTTACTCCAGGGCCTTCTTTTATAAATTAGCACAGGTAGCCCAAAGCAAGAAAAATGACTGACACAGTCAGCCAACCCAGCACTACTAAGACAACAACTAATAATATTGAAAAGTAAATATTCAATTAAGTGTCGAGGATATTAATTTTTACCTTGACTAGTAGAGTGTYCAGATTTTATATGAAAAAGAAAAGCATGAGTTAATTAAGTTTTTTGAATAAATTTGAGTCTAGTTAGATACCTTGCAATAAGGGCAAGTCTTTAAGAGCCATTTTTACATGGCAATTCTTTATCGGGCAATTTTTATTTGCCTGTATAGATGAGCAAAACTAACCAATTTTTATGTGGCAACTGTATTTGTAGGAAAGGTGACATGCTAGTTTTTATATGGGAAATAGAAACTGTCACATCGAAAATTGTGGATGAAGTTAACATAAAATGTGGCAATTATTGTGACGTTGTTGCGCATCCAAGATGGCAATGCAACAAAAGTTTCGATAGACAAGAGGAGTTGAGATTTAGAGGAAGTCTCTGGGATAGTTGTAGGCATCTCAACAATATGTTGGTTTACGCTTATATCCATTTTCAAAAATCACTACTGACAAAAATTGACATCAAACATTTGCCAATCATCTACACAGGCAAATAAAAATTACCACATAAAAATTGCTTGAGTAGACGTGGCTTAAATATGATGTTGTCAATTGTATCTTAGCAACCAATCGTACTAATTGCTTTTATTATGTAAACACTTGGGACGTYATGTGTTCAAATAACTGCCAGTTATGTACACAATGATGATATTAATATTTCATATAACTTAACTACATCTATTAAAGGTTTTTTTTTTTTTCAATTATATAATCATTCCTGGGATATATATCTTCCAAGATAATATTCGTAACATTTTAGTAAATTTATTGTACAAATATTATAGCTTATGTAGTATTTATGATAGTATTTCGAAATATTGATATATTATATATAATGCTATATTATTGCATTAGGAAATTTCATGAATTACWATCAAAGTACTGACAATTACTCTTAAAAAAAGCTTAAAARAGAARCAAAAAAATGCAAWCATACRAAAAAGGTRAGGGGTATGAATTCTTTTAAACACMGACACACTATCTCATTGTACACTTAAGTTAATACCCCTTAAGATAGGTCAAAAAATCTTACCGGTATGGGCGTATGAAACTGGAACTTTCCATATGCTAAAATAAGCTGACACTGCCGCTAAAGCTTTACCAAAAGCTAGAGGAATAATCAGTTTACAAAACGCCGGTGTTGGAATCTCTACAGCTTTAGGAACTGACCATATTACGAGCGTGGGGCCGAGAAAGAGAGCGGTACACAGCACTTGTGCAAAKGCTACAGTTGTTGGATGAGGGAACTCGTTGAGCAGTTTCTTTCCAACTACACTATTWGTTGAACTGATCGTGTACCAGACTATACAGAGAAAGAATACCCTRAARGCTTCRGCGGGTATTCTTATCATCGCCATGTTTTGGAGTTTGTGCGATTTGTGGTCAGCGACACGTCAACAGAAAACTACGAAAATTTCACTTCCGGTTGCGAAATCTTTTGGCACAGGAACTCCGATAGATCACCCAACTTTCAAATGAAATTATATACATTGTGCGTGCTTTATATGATCAATGATAGATTATTACAATGAATGAATGTATTCTCATTCAATGCAGCGATTTACATAATATATATTTAATTTTTTGTGTTTTCGAGATCGTATTTTTACTGGGATTCCTGTGTTATTACTGCTGTGCAKTTATCTCGAAGACTCAGCGGCGCGAAATTTCTATATTTTGTGCCATAAAAATCTCAAGTTCTTACATAATTCCTTCTATTTATTATGAGCAAAGATAGTTCAGACGATGAYGAGGAATGCCCAGAGCTTGTGAAAGCGGAGATCGTTCGTATWCCAGTGACAATAATCACTGGGTATTTGGGTATGAAAAAAATCAAAGTTTGACTTATTTATTGATATTAGTTTTATAAAAAATCTTTAAAAACTGTTAATGATTATATATATTAAGCTTAAATTGGGGCTGGAGTTATCCTGAGAATATTCCCCAGTTTAGTAGATGTCCAGGCAACAGAGATTTAAATTTACTGTAAATCCTTTTTGCATTTAAGGTGCGGGGAAGACCACGCTCCTCAATTATATTTTAACAGAGSAACATGATAAAAAGATTGCAGTCATTCTCAATGAATTTGGAGAAGGTAATTTCCTSAACAACTAYTCTTTCAAATGYTTTCTYCCCCTYGTCAAACAGTCTGCATCAAAGCTCYGATTTGAGAGATAACTGAGAGATGATTTATGATGAAGCAATGATAGATACCTGTGAATAATGCAAACGTCCTGTTACCTCTCAAGATGGAGATAGGAACCAATAGTCTTCTTCACGGTTCCCTGCGCCATCTTGAAAGGTAGCATCAAAGCAAGACAACTGTTGAGCGTGCAATGATAGAAACCTTCTTTCACACCTACAGACAATTATTTACAAGTATCTATCATTGCATGCTCAAAAGTTGTCTTGCTTCAATGTCAAGGCAGTCGGCTACCTTTCAAGATGGCRCAGGGGCGAAGGGAACTGTGAAGGAGATTATTAGACTATAGTGCAATTTCTTTGTGTTACAATTGGTTGATTGATTGATCGATGATTTGATTGGATGTTTGTCTATTTGATTGATTGATTGATTGACTGTTTTTCAGGCAGTGCAATAGAGAAGTCAATGTCTATTGGTCAAGAAGGAGAGTTGTATGAAGAATGGCTTGAGCTTCGCAATGGATGCTTGTGCTGCTCAGTAAAGTATGAAAACAAGTAGATTTTTTATGGATTTTATCYGCGTGTGAAGTATTTATCTGCTAGATAGCACTATTCARCATTTTTACAACTCTTCTAGACTATAACTCTTTGAAGAATTGAGAAATTAGTACTAGATGATTTATTTTTTATAACAAATTCATATTTTCAGGGACAATGGCATTAAAGCTATTGAAAACTTAATGCTGAAAAGAGGCAAGTTTGATTATATTCTGCTGGAGACAACAGGCCTTGCTGACCCAGGACCTATTGCATCAATGTTCTGGCTTGATGATGAGCTTGGTAGTGACCTCTGTCTAGATGGTGAGTGGTAGAGTTCAAGGGCTTGAAATAACGGCCAGACATATGCAGGACATGATGTCCTTCCAAATTCATTTTTTTGAAGGTCATGTCAAGTTTTGAAAGGACAAAAACTTACTATTATACTGTTATTTTCTTTCAATTTATAGGTTTTTTTTATTCAGGAAGATCAGCAAGCATTTTAATGGCTTATAAAAGATTTATTTAGCGGATTGAGAATTGATTAGTCTAAAAATGTGGCAGGTCAATTTGTCCTTTCAAAACCCGATTTGGCCGGCCATCTAGCAAATTTGGAAGGACGTTGTCCTTTGACCGGTCATTATTTCAAACCCTGGAGTTCACCTGTGAAAACTATTATTTAAATAAATTTAAATATATATTTTTCAATAAATTTTATTTTTTAAATTGAATGTGACAAAAAAGTACAAATTTTCCTTGTTTTTTTTACATCTGCTGCCATTGTCCTTTATTAGTGCTTTGTAATGGAGGATTGATGCTATTTTAAGTAATCATAATGTTGTGAGTGTAATTAAGTTTAACAAGTCAAACTCTTTCAATATTTGTCTCTCATGAAAATCCACAGGTAACCCATTGAAATATTTGTTTATTTTCCAAATAAGGTATTGTAACAGTAGTAGATGCCAAGTACTGTCTACAGGTAATTCATTATCAATGCTCACTTTTCATTTCCCATATCCTTGTATTTCCATTTCCATCACATTTKTAGTCAAATGTTTTTGCATTGTTTTCATTTGTTTTACATTCCATTTCCCATCATTTTAATTGTGTCCCATTTGATAACTTAGTCTAATACCTTCAGGCTGCTGTTTCTGAAATATTGTTGATTGCCCTTTATATTGTTCCCTTTTTATCAATTTCCTATTTCCTAATTTTTCATTTTCCTTCTCATTTTTCCACATTTCTCTTTTGTCACTGATATTTTTTTTTCTTTTGAAAAGCACCTTGATGAGGCCAAATGTGACGACCAAATAAATGAAGCAGTTAGGTACAATTTCTATGCATTTTTTCCCCCACTTATTTGTGATTTTAAAATTTTTGTCATGTATATTTTATATTTAGACAGGCTGCCTTAGCAGATGTAATTATTATAAATAAATTAGACCTTGTAAATAACGAAGAACTGGAGGTGCTGAAATCAAGGTTACGGTAAGAGAGCTCTCATTAGAGAGTTTAAGCATCAAGTTAACGGCAAACGCAGAGCTGAACCAATGACCTACGAATTTCGTGCCTGACTTGTGCTTTTGGTAGTCATTTGAAAGAGCGGATTTTGACGATTATGGCAACTCCAAACTAACCCGCTCTCGCGTTGAAACTGCAACGTTAAACTCCAAAAAAGCAGGTCACGTGATCTTTTCTGCCGTTTGCCAGGTTTGCTGTGAACGTCATGCTAAACCTCTCTAATAACTCAGTCTTGGCCTCACCGCTAAACCCATTTTTACATTATTGCGATTCCGGGAGCGGGTCGAAAGGAGAGACCGACGCTGTTATGATGAAAGGCTCACGTGTAYCTCACATACAAAAAAATCGCAATTCTTTATGGACTATCAGGTTTATTTTGTTTTCTTTTGTGCTTTTTTTACATTTTTCCCCGATGTTTTTATGGGGGAATTACCATTTTGCGTGATTGCGTGAAGTAGATTTAGAAACAAACAGAAAGTAACTTTCAAAAACAGATCATTTTATCAAAACAAAACAAACCATTTCAAAGTTTCTCGAAAACAAGTGGTGTAATTTCTGGTTTAAATAATGTTTTGATTGTTTTATTACCAGGTCAATAAATGGAKTGGCGAAGTATATTGAGACGACCAAATCAAGGTAAATACATGCATGTTTCACTTCCTCCATTGATTTTCAGATATTCCTTCCTTCATATCTCCCTTCCGTTTTCTTGTTCTTCTCCCATAGTTTATTTCCCTTCCAGAACAGTCTATCAGAGACTCTTCTATCAGGGAATTTGTTCGTTGTTTCTTTCTTTCATTAATTGCTTTGTCTCTTCCCTCCATCCTTTTTTTAATTCTCCTTCTTTTCTTCCTTCCTTCGCATCCCTTTTAACTGCCTTSTAGACCCTCGTTCGCTCTTGTATTTCCCCGTCCAGTTCATTTGGCTTGATTTATTCCTTGGATATGTTTCAGAGTCGATCTTAACGAAGTCTTAGATCTGCATTCGTTTGACAAGGCTGAGAAGAAACGGTGAGCTTAAAGGRACACTGTCAATGGCACGCATGCGCGAGTAAACTTGAAAACATTAGGCTAGTGTTTTCAAGCTTATGACTACAAGTTGGCGCGACATAAATCAGCTCGTAAAACGTAAACAGATCTAGCATATTCCAAAGTGTTTCAAAAGCACCACAAAATGATTTACCTCGAAGGTAATACTTTCAAAGTCCGTTAGAGGTGAGACTGTTATTGCACATGTCATCCATTGACAGCGTCCCTTTAAAATTAACTCTAAGAGATAATAGTTTCACTAACTCTTAATCTCTTTTGAAAATCTGGTACTTACGCTTCRCTTAATCCTCAGTGACTGGTGCCCGCTGGGAAGTCATTTAGACCACGTGGATGGAAGATCACCTTACCATATTGACCAGGTAAACAACCTGTATTATTCGGTAATCTATAATACCATAAAACGTGTGTGTAAGCCCTGTGTGGGTTCTTGTGGTCATCTTAAAACTATGAAATCGTAATCACAYGWGAGTWAATTACTACCCCCCTCGCAAACGAAATAAAGTACGYTCTGCGACGAGTTGTCGCAAACCGTGGCACGCTTTTCTTAAGAAGTTTTCCAATCCAATTAGTATTTGGCTAAAAAAGCACAGAATCTGGCACCGTTGATTTTTCAGTTTCCAATTAAAGTTCTAGTTAATTTTACACGCCGTTGCCCCCTCTTAAAGCAAAAAAAAAACAAAAAAAAACAGAATTTGTCCCCCCCCCTTTGAATTCTCAACCCCCCCCTGATAAATATTGCGCAATCTCTAAGATTAAGGCTCCTGTTCGCTTAGTAATAACCGTTGATAACCGTTTTAGGCAGTCACGACCGTCACGCTAGATCTCCGTGGTAATGTCACACAAGATGCATTGGATACTTGGCTACAAGTGAGAGTACTTACTAATATGGTGTTCTACTCTAATGACGTCATTATTTGTTCGGCGAAATGCCCTATGGGATTGATCAACCTCGTTTCCATGCTCAAACGAAGGAATTAGGGCCTGGAAACGAGGTTGGAGATTCCAGAAACTTGTGAATCAGATCTGAGACCGAAAGGGCGCATGGGAAAGATAGTATTATGCCTGTAACAATGTTTTAGGCTCAGAAAATGTCTACACGAAAAAATACACTCTCTAGCGCGCGATGCTGTGATATAAAATGTTTAGGCAGTAATAATTTGAATTTCTACGCGCGATGCTGTGATATAAAATGTTTAGGCAGTAATAATTTGAATTTCTGAGTACCCAAAATCCCCTTGGGGGTGTTAGCTTTAGTGGTATCACCCGAAAACATTTTTACAATCAATTTTTTATTATCATCARCATCATCATCGCTATCATTTGATTATAGGAATTATTATGGGAGAAAAGTATTAAAAGTTCATCTGGAAAAGTTATAGATATTCTACGCTTTAAGGTAATTCTTATTCTTGATTGGTATTTTATATAAAAAGGCCTATGAACCCTTCATATAACTGCAACCTGAGGTCGTAGAGGGGTCTTGTAAAAGTCTCCGGACATTGTTAGCAGAGAGAGAGGAGCTTTGCTTTGGCATAATAGTATCAATCACATTTTAATTGACTTTGAATGTTTCTTTGAATTTTAAAACTCTAGTATAAATTTGATTAGTATAGAAAGCAGGGTAATAACTTTTGCGGAATAACTCGATATTATTGGTTCTTTGCCTTCGTAGGATATTTCTTTAGCACCTCGTGTACTATATTAATGTTCCTATTATTTGTTGAACGAGAACAAATTGCTTTTTATATAACACTTTGTTAATAACAATTATTTATCAAGTTGTAGTTACTATGTTATATTGATAAATTTACTTTTTGTGTGTGAATAATTGATGTAAATGTTTTAACAAATGCGAGCTCTGCCAGTCTTTGCTGCTAGGCAACCATATAATCCTACCGCATTCGTTAACAAACGAGGGSTCAGCGGGTGCTATTGTTTTAGTCAACTGGTATCAAAATGTAATAGAAGTATTTGTRGGGTGAAGGATTATGTAGTATTACATATGAAGTGCTTTGTGGCTTTTTACAAGTTTACACTAAAATTACACATGTCTGAGACCATTGAACGTGTCMAACTGTCAAGAAAAGGATTTTTTKAGGGATTTGAAAMRCCTGGGACATAACGCTTTGAAAAGTCAGAGTTCAATCGGAATTCTATTTTTGGGCCGACTCTCAAAAATGTCAAATGTGCTACGTTTTCGGCCAAGAGTGTTTATTTACAACTATTTAAACAARCTACAAAGGATTCTGTTTTCTTTTGTCACAGTTTGAAGGGTGTTTTAAGAACAGCTTGATAAAATTYACAGTATTTTGTGAACCTGTAACTCAGTAGTAGGAAAAGACTCTACGCGTTCGTCGTTCCATTCATATTACCTAATATCTTTGTTTGCCATAATGAAAACTTGTTTCGGAATTGCTCAAGTGTTTAAAATTATGTAACAGTCTAGTGAGGAGGGAAAATCCTAAATTCGCATTAAAATTTTATAGGAACTCTTACGCCGCCATCTTGATGAAAAAAGATTTTGAAAATTTTAGTTATTCATTTCGAAGTTGTTGTTGTCTTTGGGATTTTTTTTTTCTTCGAAACTTAATTTTAAGACAATTTGAATCACTTAATGTCCATTTATTGYCTCGTTATTCATTATAAAATTCATTGCTACAAAATGAGAGCCTTTTATTTGAAAAGCCAGCTTGACAGGTTGACAAGTTTACAGTGATACAATTACAAATTTATTGAATTCATTGTCCTTATCATCTATATATTATCTCTGCTGGCATTTWAACGTAAATTCAGCTCGTGGTTTTCTAGTTTTTGCAACTGTTGAGAGATATTTTTTTTATTTTGGCTTTCTTTTGTAATTACAAAAATAAATTTRAACTCACGGTACTGTAATGTCTGTTGCTTCGCAAACAAACATTGTTGTATGCGTAACACGATAATACGAAAATTAGCACTGTTTTGACAAAACAAACATCCAAGCAACACAATTTTTAGTGTTTAAAAGTTTGTTTGTTTGCAATAACCTAACAAAGAAACAACATGGCACCTTGGTGTAGGGCTTACAACAACAGCGAAGGAATTCCTCTGTCGGCMTCTTTGAAGTGACGCTACRTTATTTCTTTGCTATAGAAAATACTACACAACGCATAGACAAAAAACCAAAGAGTTTTCTAAAGAGAATTCTTTGAAAACTATACGTATAATGTATGTTTTGACTTGAAGGAATCCCATTTTCCAAAACACAAGGCGTTCTTGTTTCATTGTAAGCAATAAAACATTGTTGGTCGTCATGACTTATTTACCTTCATAACATCAGGTACTTTTTGAATAAAATGCTCCACTACAGGTTGTTTTAAACAGTCATTTGATTCTTTTAAATGTGAAAACACTCTCAGCTGCGGGTTGTTTTTTACCAGTTGAACGTAATGCGTCAATGAAAGGCTGATTAAATCGCTTTGAGAAACGAGTTAACTCTCTTGAAATTTGATTCTTCTTTGAGCAAATAGACAAAAATACTGTAGCTTGTGGATTTTGTTGTGAGTCGAAGTAGTTAACGTTGCAGGGGAGAGAGGAGCGAACTTAGTCAAAACATGGAAGGCGGCAAAAAGAACATCACTATGTTATACCTGCACAGCGTAGTACATTTGCTTTCAAAAACACTTAAGGCATTCAATAACCCTGAAAGCTATTTTCATTAAAAGTTATTATTTCCAAAAGGTAATTTTTCGCAGATGAAAAAATAATGTATCTTTATATATGGAGAGCGATAATTGCACTGATATGCATATYTGTTCTTYAAWCCCACGTGCTCTCGACCAATGAGAATCCAGGTGAACAGTTTGTTGGTGAACTGTTTTAACACCCAGTGAACAATAAGTGCCATCAGAAAATTTAAAAAGCTAATGAGCCTCTTTAACTACTTAGAARTCCCGTCAATCATAATTGAATAGACGATACTTGCCTACCAATGAATTACCGGTGGTAATATAAATTCACGGCCTGCCGCAAACAGGCCCTATATAACGGGATTTCTTGCTGTCAGCTCACAACGCAGGAAGTCTGTGACTAACTGAACATAGCGTTACCACGAGACATTATAAAATGATGAACGAGACGGAGACAGCATGCGAGGAACGCTTTGACGATGAAGCAGCTCTCGCACAAGGYGAAGAAACTAGCGCTGGAAAAGAGGATTCCAAGCTGCTAGGAAAAAGAAAGCAAAGTTTTACTCCCAGTCATGGACGAAAGCGTAAAAATGGCAAGCCACCTTACTCGTACATAGCTTTGATAGCGATGGCAATTCTCGACACACCAGATAAACGYCAGACTCTAAGTGGAATAATTGAATTCATCAAGAGGAAATTCGACTACTATGGCAAGGATTGTCCAGCCAAAGGCTGGCAGAACTCTATCCGTCACAATCTTAGTTTGAACGATTGTTTTGTCAAGACGTGGAGAGATCCAACCAACCCCTGCAAAGGCCATCTTTGGACGCTCCACGCCAATAGTATCGATATGTTTCAAGGTGGAAGCTTCATGCGACGAAAGAAGCGTTTTAAGACTGAGGATGATCCTGAAGATTCGTATCACAATGACAAGATTCAACGCTGCCTGCAGGAAACGTTGGCTTCGACATCGAGGGTCAACTATTCTTCCTCTCCAGACACATTACCTCGCGAGCGAGAGACTACAGAGAGATTTGAAGGGTTTCCTACCATGCGTTTCCCATTCTCTCTTCCTGTCCCTGGGAAAGATCCGAATGGGGTTCCGTTTAGTATGCCTCCGTTACTTCCCGCTACTGCAGTTAGACCTCATYCGATTTTCTCCTTGTCGTCTCCTTCTTCCTACTTAAAGAGGCTTCCAGGTTCTGACTGGCCGATTCAAGCCCGCCCGCCGCATTTTCTGTACTCGGATTTAAGCCGTTCCCCCTGCATCCAGTGCTTGGGTTGCACCTGTAAATATACTTGAACACTATTACATGTATTAGTGCATGGGATCGAACTGTAAGTGCTATAGACTTCTATATATCACACAATTTGTACTTGTAAATAACTCATATTGACTCAGCAATCTTTCACTTGTTATACCGCTGATTTTAATGTATATAGGTTTGTATAAAAAGGAAGCTCCAATTAAGCGACAAAAAAAAACTACGAAAAGTAAACATCTTGTTTCTTGTTTCTTAGCAATAAAGTATTGTACTGAAACAACGAAGTGTGTTATATAAATAACTTTGTTTGCAAAAACTGCGCAAAATAATCCTTAAATAGCTATTAAATGTCTTGTTTAGCAATCAATCTAGTGTAGCGCCATTTTGCAGGGTTTTTTATCTGTATTGATCAAGTTAAACTAACAATTTGGGAGCTTCAATTAGCTCACGGCTAGAACAACCTTTCGCCATGACAATTTGGCAATAATTATGCCAGTGATTTGAAAGTTAGACTTGCTTATTTTAAAGTGCAGCATGAACAATGAATCGCTTCAGTTTTAAGAACAACATCCTTTTTTTAGAGAAGAAGAAGTTTTTATGTGAAGCACCAGACGATTTTCCGTATTATAGARCACTTSCTTTCTGCTGTCAAACATTGAACAGTAGAATAGTTTCCGTACATGTGTTAAAGACAGTCTAACGTGGTCCTTTTACTCTCTAGTTTTCTTCTTAAATTGAAATTTCTCTCAGTAACATACTCGTAGCCTTCCTATCTTGGCTTTTATAGCTTCAAGCACGACTTTGAAGCGGTTACTGAGACTAAGGAGGATGTCATAAGAATCGCCGATGTGTTTTTCTCTATGGGGAATTGCCATGGGGAAAATGTACAAGTAATTTCGTATACACAACTTATAGTTATACTTTTGCTTTTTATACTTATTTTAGTTTGTCTGTGTTAGTATGTAGTATTTGTTTTTGTAAGGGAAGTATTTATTTAGCCATTTAGGAAGCTGCTTGGACCTGATGGTGTAAAACACAAGAAAACTAACGGCTCGTTTAGGATATAACGGTCTTTTAACGACTGATTTCCATGGTAAAACGGCCCAACTCAAAATACTGGAGATATAATCGAAAAAAAACTAAATTTATAAGCCATAAAGACCGTCAATCCAAAGATCTTTTATTTTTTTTTGTAGACATATTGAGCTAGGGATATTCTTCAGCAGTTGGGTGTCYTCTCACTTTGAACAGAGACCTACATGTAGATTGCCTTTTATATCTTTATTTTCTTAATTTTAGCTTCAAATTTATCAACATTATACAGTTTCATTATATTTTCATTATATTTTAAACCATTCGTGTAAAGAAAAGCACCGAATTGAATTTCTCCTGGCACCACACAAGTCAYGGTCGCCAACGCCATAATCTCTAGWAGTARCTTTTGAATTTTGTATATTTARGTGAAACAAAAAAGAGATTTTAAGGCCTTTGTGATAATTATCACAAGTCTTACAGTTGCAGCTTCTCAGACAAGTTGTTAAGAAGACGAAACACCAGAAGACAACACACTAACAACAAGGTGTTGCAATAGTTTTTCAAAATTAACAAACACTGAAGTTATAACTCCAAAACATCTTCATTGCTTGTTATTTTTCCGTCCACAATTATAAGCAAGTGACTCTGGCGTTTAMATTCACCTTTAATTAGAAAATATAGCGATACGAGGCACGAGGGATCGTAATTTTTTGGTGTTTTTACTAAAAGAGTCGAACGGTGTGGAAGTCCTAGTGTTTGTTACCTGTTTTTGAGTGGGAGTTAAACGTGGACCTTAAACTCCGCTCTGCYTGTCGTCAGCGATTTTCCTTTGAGAAATTACTGGCAAGAACTTCCTGACTTAAATTTTTATCACGCAAGAAGTATTTTCTAAAGAGCAAATGCTTTTTTATGGATAAAACTCCCCAAAATCTTTCTCTCAGTTTAAGTTGGATGTCTTGCTGTTATACTTTGGGTGCATTCAGTGGTTAAAGAGTTTCATCCTTCGAAAATTATCTTCAAAGAAGTCTTCTTAACAGCCGGAATAATGTTTTTTGACGTAGTCATAAGTTCTTGGTTAAAATAAAAAGGTCAGTTATTTTTTGTTTTAACCTCTAAATTATAGTAAATCGATGGTTTTAATTTGACGCGTTCAGTTTTTTATTTCCATGACTAATGTTCTTCAGATGGCATCCCTTAGCTTAAACTAGAAAAAAGTACTCCTTAATGTTCTYTTAAAATGGCTGCTTTCTTTGTGGTCTATTTGGGACTTGGGTGAGGATGTATTTTTTTTACTAAAAAAAAATGAATTTGATGGTTGTTTATTGCCCCGTTTCTAGACCGGTATGCTGTGTTATATACCGTACACATCGCACTATWCAAGCTGAGACTCTGGCTACTAAACTCTTAGGTTTGCTTTTTGTTTGTTTTTCATTGTTTTTGTTTTCATTTTTTACCATTGTCAATTCATCTTACTTTAGATAAAGTTATATGTTCAAATAATCCAAGATATCTCCTTGTTTTTTCCTGCCTCAGTCAGAAACATCATCGTGCCTTTTGCAGTTTGTAAAGTAAGTTTCTAAGCAGCAGTTCAAAAAGGAATGTAAAAACTGTCTAWGAACAAAGGTTTTTCTTTCCTTTGTGGAAGAATCCGTGTATTGTAACTATTTCTTTTGTCAGATATATGAACCATGTTCAACAATATGCAGGAATTAGTCAAGGCTTACAGACCAACAAAAGAAAACAGTTATTTTGACGTTTGTATTTTTGTTGTGTTGTCTTTTGATGTCTAAAAACAGCTGTTGGATTTTCATATTGTCTTTTGAGAATATGTTCAAAAGAAGAAGTAACTGTAGATTCCAGAAGGGATAGAATCATATTAAAAGTAAAACAACGAACTTTTAAACACTATGTTCCTTTCGTATTTGTTCAAGTGGGAACAGGCAAGTTTGTTGACCACAATTTGTAATTTTAGAAGAATGTAAAGCCTGTTCGTTTTGTTTACACTGTAACTTGTCTTTAATAAAATGTGTAAATTTTCCTAAGAACCTGCTAAAATTGGCCTTTCGTTGGTTAGCCATTTTGTAAAGAGGTTTCACTTGGCTGTTACTGACCCCCTAATTGCTTAACTCAAATAAATTATTTATTGGCTGCAGTTGCTTTTCCTTTTGGCTCGTAAGCCACACACTAAAAGGATCCTAAATATCAAAGAAATGACATAATATATCTTATGTACTTTAGAGGCATCGAGTTTATGATTAAAAATTAGTTAGTCATATATTTTTTCGTCGCTTAAAATTCCCACAGGTTAATATTTTTCATGGGAATTTCAGTTCTGTTTCACGTGGAGGTGCTGTGCTTTGGAGGCTAAGATMCTCTCTTTGTCTGATTAAAAACAGAACTGTCTAAGACACTTGTAGATTTTAAGTACTTCTGTGCGCCTTTTTAAGTTCAAGGACTTTCAAGTGCTTTCAAGATGTTTAAGTTACGAGATTTTTTAAAAAGAAGCGAAAGAAAAGAGCTTCGGCAAAACTTCACATGAAATTTAAGTAGGAATTTCCGTTTCCCAAACGATGTTTTGACTTCAATTGCTAAGTTTTATTAAAATCARTGTTGTTTTCATTTCTCAGCTATTGTTTTCCCTCAACATTCGCCACAAGTGTTGCAAAACAATTCTCTCGAGTAATTAGAAGCGTAATTTGTATCAACTTCAAGATGGCGACTCATCCAACGACCTTTTATCAACCGCTTGCCCWTATTCTTTSCCTTTAGCTTTCCGATYCAGTTTCTAGTATCTTTTCAATCATTTATGAAGTGGAGAATCGCTCGACTAACTTTATTCAACTAGTACCCGATTGAGGCCACATGTTATCTAATTGTCTTGAAAATCTCAAAAAGTTACGCCCCAGAAGCTAACATTTTCCCTAATTTCTCTAATTAAGCGATGAATCACAACCAGACCCCAAGGGCCATTTTCCTTTCCCTTCAAACCAATTATCGGTCGTTGAAGTAGTGTATTGAAGAATCGTTTTCCAAGTTAAAGGGTTAAGAAACGGACATCAGTACCAAGAATCGTGTTTACAAATTCTCAAATGAAGACGTTTTTAATTGCACTTTTAAATGTCTGCTGGTACCATGGTAACCAGTTGTAAAGTTATGAAAAGCAGGTACTCACTTAGTGAAAGTTAAATAACTTTAAAGAGGTTCTGTTTTGTGTGTAAATCTGAGTTGATCTTAAATGAAACAATTCTTTGAGGGTTAATTAGTCGAGTCAGTTTCTAGTACAGGAGAAAAATCGTTCAAATTGGCGAAATAATGCAAAAACTCTTTCTTTGTTTAAGGTTGGCCGTACGGCMCTTTAAATGTTGTAGGTTTTTTTTGAGTCTTTGAAGTTTAAATACAAAATAGGTGAATGAGAATTYTTATTTATGGCTGTGAACTTGTTCTGGGACTRTATATTTTGATGCTTCCATTGTGTACTTTAAGATGCACGCTATAAARGGGTTTAAAAACAGTTTTGCTATGTTGATATTGATAAAGTAAATATAGTTTGAAATACCAATCCTCAATTCTTCATGAAGTGTCTATATGTGTAAAATGAAAAAGATCGCAAACTTAGAATACTAAAATAAGTTATTTTTCGTGTCTCTTTTTTATCCTTTTAGTCGTCCGTCCAAAATTTCCCAAATTTAAGTTTGATATAACTTATTTTTGAGCGTCTAAAGCGCCACAGAATCATCCTCCAACTGAACTTCTTTCTGTCAGCATCAACAAGTATTCCTTCGCACATGCTTGTTAATTGTCATACTAAAGTAAGTTATTTTTCGTGTCTCTTTTTTATCCTTTTAATCGTCCGTCCAAAATTTCCGAAATTTAAGTTTGATTTAACTTATTTTTGAGCGTCTAAAGCGCCACAGAATCATCTTCCAACTTCTTTCTGTCAGCATCAACAAGTATTCCTTCGCACATGCTTGTTAGTTGTCAACATTTTTTTTTAAATTGTGCTTTCTTCTCGCATCGACTAGGAATAGGTTGTTGAGGAGACATTRATCTTTCGAAACATTTCCAATTAAGCAGCGCATTTACATTCTAATTTTTACGTACTGAGATTTCATTGTATTAATTCGGTGCTTTGAAATTTTTCCCAAGAATGACTGGTAAGCTCACGGCCAGTCGTGCCAGATGTCATATCAGGTTAACACAAACTTGCCCGGAGATTGTTTGCACTGGATATTGTATCCCCTGAAT